AACAATTGGGCGGTTATAGATCATTTTGGAAGCATTTGGAGACAAAACATCCAACAAAAATAGGAGTTGATCAGTCTCAAACATAAATTTTCGGGTACACATCTTCTAACATTTCTTTATTTAAATATTCTGAAAAACAACAAAAAGAAGAATTAGCAAAAATGATTTCTATGGAACATTTATCTTTTTTTTATCTTTTAGTTTTTTGTGAAAAAGAGGTCTTAAGTCAATATTTCAAAAGCTTTAAATCCTTCTGCTAAAAGAGTTGCAAGAAATACTGTAAACGAACTATATTTTTTTATTATTTATAAAAAAAAAAGAGTTAAAGGCTTTTATTGTTCTGAAATGAAAATTATCATAGTTTCACATTTGTTGTGATATTTTGAAAGTGTCATTGGCAAATTGCATTCTTATATGGGTATTATATGTAATTGGATTGATGTATGATTGGAAAAATTCATTCAAAAAAGAATTATTGCATTTCGTGATTTTGATGATAAACATATTGCAAATAATATTTAGAGAATAATTGTTTCAATTTTAGATGAATATAAGTTGACAAAAAAAAATTTTTCAATTTCATTTGATAATGCTTCAGCTAACATAAAATCAATTATTGAACTTAAAAATATTTGTGAACCAAAAATTGGTGGAAAATTTTTTCATATAAGATGTGATTGCCATGTTTTAAATTTATGTGTACAAGGTGGTTTAAAAGTTTTTGAATCTTATATTTCTCCAATTAGAAAAACTATTTCATATATATGGGGACATCCCCAAGTGATGAAAAGTTGGGCTAAATTTTGTTAGGAAAATAATAAAAGACCAAAACATTTTCCAAGGGATGTCCCAACTCGTTGGAATTCAACATATGAATTATTAAACGAGTCTTTTTCGTATATTTTTCGTATAAAGAATTATTGTGCATTTTTGTTACTAATAATATTGAAGAAATTAATTTATATCCACAAAATTGGGATATTTGTGCAAAAATTTTAGACATTTTAAAAAAATTTTAATGATACTACCTATAAATTTAGTAAGGTTTATTATCCCAAATCTCATTTATTTTTGCCTATATGCATTAATATTGCTAGTGCACTCCCAGAATTTGAAAATGATTTTATATTACAATATTGTGTTTTTTAATAAAAAAAATGGTTATCTTATTTTAAAAGTATACCACCCCTTTATCTTATTGCTTTTGTATTTGATCCTAGATGTAAAATTGAAGTTTTATCTGAATATTTGACTATTTATTATGAATTATTAAATCTTGATATAGAAGATAGTGTTATAATATTAAATGTAGTATGCATCTGAAGATTATTACAAAATATTTTGTTAGAATTATTAAGTGCAATTTGTTCAATTTTCTAGTTCATCTATTCTAATTCTTCCTTAATTCAATACGGATCAACCAATTTCCAACTCAAAGGATAAGTGATTAGTGTTGCTGAACGATTTTAATACAAAAAGACAAAAAGGACCCAAGGGAATCCAATTCTATTTCTGAATTTGATAGTTACTAACCCACTTTCTTTTCGAGTTTGGTGGATGATTATGAAGATAATAATTTCTAATTTTAGATGTGTTAGAGTCGGTCACGGCCAATTACACTTTTCCAATACTTTCTTTAATTCGCAAAACAAGTATTTAGAAACTTCGGTCTCCACTTTGCGGGTTGAACAAAACTTTTAGTTCAATGAGAAACAGTAATTGAGTGAAAACACGATCATCGTATGGGAACACCCGATTCATTTAGAAGCACATCATGCATGGATGATTGGAGCAAGGCTGAAATCAAGAGCACAAGAAATATCTCATAGAAAATGGAGATTTATATGATTTTTACAAGGGTCCTCAACGGGAACATCAACGGTGTGGAAATAACCCAAATAAGTAAAAATGTGAAATTAGATAAAGGTAAATAAGAATTGTGGCTTTGATTTTCTCTAAACCCCAGAGATACGTAGGGCACACTTGAAATCTTTTTTTTTAAAAAAATTTAAGTTTCAAGCCATTTTTTTAAAAAAAACTTAAAGTTTCTAAATTTTTTAACACAAAAAAATAAATTAGTTGAAAAACTTTTTGTTAAAAAAAATAAAATCTAAAGTTCAGGTCTTATTAAAAAAAAATTTAATTCAAGCATTTTTTAATTTTTTAAGATTATTTTTTTTTAGAAATTCATTTCACAAATTTTTTTTTTAGAAATTATTTCACAAATTTTTAAATTTTAAATTTTGAAAACCAGTCTTCAAAATTTAAAATTTAAAATTATGCGATTCGCCGAAAAATCAGCCTAAATATCAGTTTTGGAACTGTTGAGAAATCGAAATCGGAAATTTTCGGTTCTGTTCCGGTTCCAAATTTTTTAGAACCGGAACCGGCGGTTCCAGAACGGTGGCCATGCCTAATTAATAATATATAATAAAAAATGCATATTGTAATCAAGTGTAGTCTGATTGATCTTTCTACCTCTCGTAGAAAATATAAATTAATTCGCAATCGTCGAAATAATGTTTTAGTTCATTGGATTACGAGACAGGTTAATGTAGGGGGTTTATACTTTAGCTAGAGATTCCTACCATCATACTAGTCTCAAAAGTTTAGTATTCAGTTCTCTTAGTTAACTCTTCATTGTTTCTTTTAATGAAGTTTCTTTTCTTTAAAAAAAAAAAAAAGATGGATTGCCTTTTAATAAAAAAAATGACAAAACGCTCACCTTATATGTTACACCAAAAAAAAAAAGCCTCAATTTATATGTTACACAAAAAATCTTGTGACACTATCAATTGTTATTTTGACAAATTGAATACTTTAACTTATAAAATTTTTCTTTTGAATATTTTAATTTGTAAAATTAGATAAATAAAACATTTAATGCATAGTTAACAAATGTGAAAATTATTGTTATAAAAATTGGAATCAAATATCAAATCAATATTTTATATATAAAAGCTAAAAACACTAAAAAATTATTACTGTAAATGTGGAGAGACATGCAATGTTATCAAATGGGAAAATGACGATTTTATTTCTATATTTTACCATAATATCAACATCACCCCTATATTTTTTAAAATACATAGGTTTATCTCTATTTGTTGCTTTTATTACATTGTTATGTCTTTCTGTTTATTTTTTGGGAAAATTATTATTTCGTCCCTGAGATTTTACATAATTATTTAAGTAGTCCTCGACATTTATACATGTATTTATAACGTCTCTGAAGTTTGCCACCATCATATTAATTGGTCCTTCCGTAAAAAAAATACACTTTTTCCGTTAATTTTGAGAAGAAAACACAAAATTATCCTTTGCAAAAATAATTATTAAAAATAATTATTTCATCCCTGAGATTTGCCATAATTATTTAAGTAGTTCCCGACATTTATACAAATATTTATAACGTCCCTGAGGTTCACTTCCGTCATAATAATCGGTCATTCCGTCCAAAAAATACATTTTTTTTGTTAATTTTGAAAGGAAAAGACGAAAATTATCCTTTATAAATTTTCATTGATATTATTGTCAATCTCTTTCAGCTAAAATTCCTAAAACTCAAATTTTCACCATCTAACTCAACCCGACACGATCTTCATTGCCACCACTGTGTCTCTGTCAACCATCATCTCTATAACGAGATCACCACCAAAACTAAAACCCAACATCTAAACTCAATCAAGCCATCATCACCATTCATCCATTTATCTTTCTCTCATTGATTAGAGGATTTAGGGTAGTTTTTTTGGACGGAAGGACCAAGTAATATGACGGAAGTAATCTCAGGAAGTAATATGACGGAGTAAATCTCAAGGGACGTATAAATATTTGTATAAATGGCAGAAAAACTACTTAAATAATTATGGCAAACCTTCAGCGCACGAATATTATCTTTCCATATTAGTTTTAGTTGGTGATCTGGTATATGGAGATGAAACTTATGGAGATGATACTTGACAGAGACATGGTGGTGGCAATGAAGACCGCGTTGGGTTGAGGAAGATGGTGAAAATTTGAGTTTCAGGTATTTTAAAGGAAAGGAATTGACAATATTGTCAATGAAAGCTTATAAAGGACAATTTCGCATTTTTCGCTCAAAATTAACGGAAAAAATATATTTTTTTTTATGGAAGGACTAATTAATATAACGGAAGTAAACCTAAGGGACGTTTTAAATATTTGTATAAATGTCGGGGACTACTTAATAATTATGGCAAACCTCAGAGACGAAATAATTATTTTTCCAAAGGATAATTTCAGTTAGCAAACCTCAGAGACGAAATAATTATTTTTCCAAAGGATAATTTCGTCTTTTCCTCTCAAAGTTAACGGAAAAAATGTATTTTTTTGACGGAAGGACCAATTAATATGACAGTGGCAAACCTCAAGGACGTTATAAATATATGTATAAATATCGAGGACTACTTAAATAATTATGTAAAACCTCATGGACGAAATAATAATTTTCCCTTATATTTTTTTTTACTTTTTCAACAATAAATTATTATCTTGTTCCTATATTTTGTCAAAATTAACAAATATGTCCTTGTATTTTATTAGATATTATATTTTTATATTTTGCTAGCATTAACTTCTCTATTCCTGTATTTAATGAAAAAGTATAAAATATCAACAAAAATGATATAGCAGTATAAAAGAGGCAAAAGATAGACACGAAATTATATATTCCTATCAATGAAAGAGCAAATGCATATATTTTGACAAAATTCAAAGATAAGATAGTAATTTTTTCTTACCAAAATTAACTCAATTGGGTTTAACAAGTTCTCTATAAAATTTAGGGTACCACATCATTTTTCACATAAAATACATATGGTAAATTGATATATTTGGCTTACGAAGATTCAATTGGACATAAAATTAGATTCAATTGAAGTAATTTAAAAATATCAGGGATCAAATTGAACTTTGATCTTAAATAAAAATCAACTACATTCGCTGAAGCGAAGCGTTACGTGTACTTATCGGTTGCCACTCGCGTCACTGACCCTCGTTTCCCAAAACAACCAGCAAAACCTATTTAGTGCTTTACACTGAAAAAACAGAGCAAAGAAGGAGACATGAATCTGCTTCCTCTTTCTGTTTCAAATCCCTACAAATTCCCTCTTTCTCTACCTTTACAATTTAATGCCATCCCTTTGTCGTCATTTCGATTCTCCCTTCCACCATCTAATTCTTGTCATTTCAAATCCTCATTTTCAATCCCAGCTTCTAATGTTTACAGTAACATAGCAAGAACAAGAGGAACGAAACGGTACCAATTTATTGGCCACTGCACCACTAGTAGTAGAAACTTAGAATTAGAATCATCGTCTTCGTCATCACCGTCAGATTCAAATAATGATTCTTCATCACCCACCGTTGATTGTGTGGGGACGGGTCTGGACGTGGAGTGCCTTATCTCTCCCTCCGACACCAACGATACACTATCAACGGCGGCGGTGGAAGTAGAAGAAGGAGGAGTAAAAGAATCGAAAAGAAATTTAGTGGAAACGGTGGTGGAGACGGGAATTTTAGTATCGCCGTTCTTTTTTTGGGGAACGGCGATGGTGGCGATGAAGGAGGTTTTGCCTCTCGCCGGACCTTTCTTTGTGGCTGCTTTTAGGCTTATTCCTGCTGGCTTGATTTTAGTTGCATTTGCTGCTTCTAAGGATAGGCCTTTACCTTCTGGACTCACTGCTTGGTTATCTATCGCTCTGTTTGGCGTTGTTGACGCCGCTTGTTTCCAGGTTAGTTGTTTGTTTAAAGCAAAATAATTAGTGGACTTCTACATTTGATAATTTTTTTTTTTTTGGACTAATTTTAAGATGCTTTATTTGATACAATTATGCACAAAATTAGCAGAAAATTTATGTGATTCTGTTAGACTTTGATGTGCTTTAATCTTCAAAACCAGTGCTTTGTTTGGTAGAAACTACACTGGGTTACATTTAGATAGTATGCATTTGAAATGATGAGTGGATTTGATTTATATTTCACTCGTACAAAATCAATTTTGTGAGTTCAGAAAATACATATTCCATTTTTATCTATATACATATATATGCTATATACGGGGCCTGTTTGGTGTTGATGTTGGTAATAGCAAATTTTAGGCCAGAATTTGGAGTATTCTTGTCTGCAGACGGATGTAGCTATTTGCAATAGTGATTTTCTACAGGTCCAAAATTGATTTTGGGACAGGGCTCGAATAAATAGGAGCTTTTTCCAAAATCGATTTGGGGGTCCATAGAACTCTATTCCAAAACAGCCACATTATTGGGCTAACAAAATTTCTAACGTTACCAAAAATTTGTTATTACCAATGTAAGTCCAAAAGGGTCCAAAATATGTTGATTTTATGAAGGTAAATCACTAAGTTTAGAATGACTACATATACATATATACAGATGGGCCCTTATTAACAAGTGTAAGGATTGGTGTGCTTTACACCTATAGTGTGACTGGATTCTTTTGGTATGCTAAAAATTGATGCTATATTTTAGTTATTTCTTGGGTCTGATGATAACAATTACATTAATGGTGGAACAGGGGTTTTTAGCTGAGGGACTGCAGAGGACATCGGCAGGTTTAGGCAGTGTATGTACATTTTCTTTATCTAGCTATTTAATTCTTTTATTGTAATAGTTATTAAATTTATTTTTCATGTTGTTGTATCTTATTGTAAGTTCTACATGCTGGTCTTTTGCTCCATAAAGTTGGAAAACGAGTAGTCTTCTTGATACTTCTATTCAGAGTTAAGAATTAGGCTTCGATTATCTTGGTCAATGGAAATAATTGATTTAAAAAGGTTTAAAGTGGATCAATTGCAAACGATTTCACTTAGTGAGAAATGTTACAATCCCTTATTTGTGATCGAGTATTTGAGTCGCAGTACTAGTATTATTTAACTACCCACTATAATGGAGAAACTCCCTTAGCAACTTCCTACTATTAAAGAAACTGATCTCCATATTGTTATCTGCAGATAGGAAAACAGAAAAATAAAGTACCAAATAAAGCAGCTCCCTAACAGAAAACATCCTGATTTAGGAACTAAATTAAGCTTCACAAATAGGAATAGTTCTTTCATAATCATAGGAGGCTTTTAGGGGAGGAGGCCAGGGCAGGATTTAGGAGTCAGTCATTCAACATCTTCTATACCTATGATATTCTCCTACTCAAGAAAAAATGATGATATAATTCATGGAGCCTTCATACTGCAGGTTATAATTGACTCGCAACCTTTGACTGTGGCTGTACTTGCAGCCTTATTATTTGGTGAATCCATTGGATTGGTTGGAGCTGCAGGCCTTATACTTGGTGTTGTAGGACTTTTACTTCTTGAGGTGAACTCTTAACTTCTGATCCTTTATATATATTGCATGAGATATTGATGTGCATTATTGGTAGCTAAATTATCTGATATTTCAGGGACCTCTGTTGCCTATTTAATGTGATATATCATACATCCTACCATCCAAATAGGGAAAAAAAAAGCAAAAAAATTTAAGGGTTCCATTTCTTTCCTCGTTGATTAGTGTTGGCATAATCTTTTTGCACATGATATCAGCATATCTGGACGTGAATCATTATTTTTATTCAAAGTTTTTACTTAGTCCTGCCTAAATCACTGATGTAATATTTCAACGTAGGAAACTAGGTCCCTGTTTGACTTATTTATTTCCTTTGTAGAGACTAATAATTTTAAGCTTTAGCTTAGACTTAGATTTGACAATTAGGTTTCATTGCCCAAGATTACTTCGGAAGGGGATCAATTTATGTTTCGGAAGCTATGCTATTTTCACCAATTACTATTCATGTGAATGGTATCTATGTGTATATTAAGTGAACAATTGTACTAAAAATTATACAAAGTAAATTCCCAAATAATCGGAGGGTCACAAGCGGCCCCACTTAAAGCTCTATTACCTAGACATGTAATTAATGGCACAGTATATCACTGCAATTATGCACAACAATAGCTATTAAATAGACAATAAAGAGAATGATTAAATCTATAAAAATACTCCTAACTTTTCGACTTGTTGTAGAATCACTCTAAATTGACCTTTGTACCCCGAACACCCCTGACATGCAAATTCGCAAGTGTACGAAATCGCAACAAGAGGATTGTATATCAAGTACCAAAATTATGTTAACCTACTATTATTTAAACGTCAATAAGGGGAATAATTGTTTAAAAGAAATAAAATAAAGCAATGAATAAGAAATCAAGCAAGTAACTGTTGAAAAGAAATTAAGGATTAAAGACTACTAGGGATTTTAACTTCACTTAATTCTGTCCAGTTTATTTTATTAGTTTGATAATCAATTTTAATTTTTCAAAAAGGAGAAATAATCCAAAAATCACTAATAAGCGCTCTCAATATTTTATTAGCTATTTTAACCCAATTTAATTATTCATCTCTCAATGGCGCAACCAAATATAGATTAAATCATTAAGTTCTTGTGATTATTCAGAAATTCACAAATTAAGGTCTTTATTTTTATGAAAACGTCCCACGAGTCAAACCATAAGTTGTTATTCCCATGAAATTTATTACCCTGTTCGTATCAAAAATCCTTCTCGATAGTGATTAATGAAATAAATCAATGCATGAGAAAAACTCTCTCTGGAAGTATTAAGATCAATAATGAAATTTTACTTGAATAAGGAAAATCAAATCTAATATTATAAATTGAAGTTGAATTTAAGCTACATCATATCTCCAGTAAAAAGATTTAGTTCAGCATAGTAAACTCAATTAAACTTGTAGATAATCTCTTAATGAAAAATAAATAAGAAAAGAGTTTAGAAATGAAAACTAGTTGACAATTGGCTAGAGCAGTTTCCTTAATTCTTGGCACTAACTTGGATACTTGAAGTGGTAAAGAGAGAGAAACTATTTAGAGTGGAGAACAAAAGAAAAAAAGATAAAAATAAACTAGCTAGTCTGTCTCTTTATATAGACTTTTTGGAATATCTTCGAGTTCATTTAGGAAAATGAATTTTTATTGAGGATGAAATCTTTTGGAAGTAGAAAATTGTTTTAGGCTTTATATTTCTTCCTATTTAGGAATCTCCTAACATCTAAATAAGATTCTAGCTTGAACAGACACGACCCATAAAATTCTCATGTAGATCCATCCAAGCATCACGGGCTTAATCTCATTTATATAGACTTTTTGGAATATCTTCGAATTCATTTAGGAAAATGAATTTTTATTGAGGAAGAAATCTTTTGGAAGTAGAAAACTGTTGAGGCTTTGTATTTCTTCCCAATTAGGAATCTCCTAACATCTAAATACGATTCTAGCTTGAACAGACACGGCCCATTAAATTCTCATGTAGATCCATGCAAGCATCACGGGCTTAATCTGAAAACTTGGCCCAAGTTGAACTCTGCAGAGTAGCATGAGGGTGCTGGGTAGCACGCTCTAGGCGTGCTCCCTGCTGGAAGTCTTGGACAACTAATTGCTTTTAATCTCACTTGTATTTTTGGCTGGTTTCTATAAAAATCCTGCAATATTCCTCAAGATAAAGTGAGATATGATTCAAGGAAGCCTTATTAAAAAGCAAAAATAAATTTAACTAAAATGAAACAAATTAAGTAAATTTAAAAGAAATCCTAGAGAAAATCTACTAAAAATACTATAAAAATAAAACCTATCAACCCCATTTTGAAACTTAGATATATTAACACTCTAAAATCATATTAGGGTTAGAAATTTAATTAAAAATACATAATAGTGGTTCCACTATCTGACCTTGAGTCAATTTAACTCAAGCGCTCAGTCACACAATAAGCGCACCATTTTTAATAATAATAAAAATCCTTATTCATTTCTCCCTCGACTAGATTGACAACCCCTCCTTCATCTTTGCAACCCACCATTATCAATTGATTTTTGAAGAACGTAAGATATAATCTCACCCCTAGATGAAGCTCTCTCACCCATCAATACTAAATTGTGTCCAATTCCCATGGTTACTACCATTATCTCAGATCAAGATTGAATCTTTCTCTCTTACATGAACCACAACATCTTGAATCTCCATTTTCGAGCCTACTACCTTAATCATCAATTATCTTCTTCCTTTCTCTTTATCTCCATTTTTAATCATTTGGCAAAACTCATATTCTTCAACAATCAATGCAGCAAATAAGAAGAATCAATTTGGGGTTTTCTGAATTTTCAATTTCTCTAGTGTGGTTTTGTGGTGTTTGGGTTAAATTTTCAATGGATATTTGATTGATGATGAAGAATGAGTGGGCGACGATCAAATCGGCAGCTGATTTTTTGTTTCCCTTTCTTATTTTGGTGCTTCTACTTAAACTGAGGATAAACGCAAGGTGCTATCAATATTGCCCTCTTGCTTTGTCCTTTTTTTTTGTTTCTTTTTTCTTCCTTTCCCTTTCTTATTTCTTTTGCTGTTTTGAAAATGAAACTCAGTGATTAATTCTATTTGATGGGATAAATCATAATTTTGAGCTTAGATCTTTAGTTTTGGATTGCTTTAACAAAGCTCTATGGAAGATGATCAATTAGAAAAGATAGAGGAAGAAAAAGAGGAGAGAGAGAGAAAATGGTGGGTTAGTTTGTTTTCAATACAATGAGTTTTAGGTCCTTGGGTTAAGTTAACCCAAGGTTCCAATATGGGTCCCCACTATATAATTTTTTATTCACAGTTCTAACCTCAATATGGTTTTAGGGTGCTAATTTATCGAAATTTGAAAATGGGTGTGGCTAGAGTACAGAGGTCAATTTAGAGTGGTTCTGCAACAAGTTAAATAGTTGAGGGTATTTTATAGATTAGGCCTAAAGAGAACACCAAAATTAAACGAGGTTCATCCAATTTTGCCTACGTCCTACCAAAATAATATAGAAATAAGTACAACAATAGGAGAGAGAGGAGAAAACTATGACTATATAGAAGAAATAGGCAAGTTTTGGAGATGAGAACGAGACTGGAAAGCCCAAACAGAGCCCGGCGGAGGAATGCTTACCGATACCGAAGCTGTTCTGCTCATCCCTCCGATAAATCGCCATCTCGTAGCACCACCACGACACCGATTCTCGTTATTTTTCCGAGCCCCCCATGCCATGCCGTGACTTCGATTTAAACTTAAGGGAGGGGGTCCCTATTATAGACCAAGGAACTCATCCCATTTCCCTCAATTGGCGATGTGGGATTCTTGCCACACACCAACACTGTATATACCAAAATTTAAATTCAAGGAACTTTACTTTATCTCCCTTTTTGTATATATAAAATCAATTAGAGATTGAATGCCTCTTCCAATTTGTAACTATCAGATTATTACAAAACCAGGTAAAGTACCTAGTCGTGTTATAATTAAAATTAAGTAATTAAATTGAGATGATTAAATATTTATATTATAAAAAAATTATTGCGACCACTGTTAGAACTATTTATTTGACAAGGTGCTGCCAGCATTTGATGTGAAAAGCAAATTTCCAACAGTTAGCTGCAGTCAACATTAATGTTTATTCTACACATTTATATGTCTTGCAATTTTTTTTGGGGGTTAATTTTGCATATCAATTATTCTCTTATAAAAAGTAAATATTTAGAAAATGAAAATTACAATTACAAGCCTGCAGCATTGTGTTGCCAATTTACTTGTTAGTTCCTATTTGCTCACCTTGAGCTGAAGTCCTCTGTTTCTTCCTCATAGCTGCTGATCTCTTACCGTCACTGGTATTTATGTCATTGAGTGTGATGCATTACAGACATTTTTTTTCTACTTTTTGTTTTTAGAAATGGAATAAAAGTTCAACTCAATAGAATTTTATTTGCCCCTTTTTTTATTGAATGATGATGCGGTTTGTCCTGCAGTTACCTGTTCTGGCTCTTGATGAGGGTAATTTTTCATTGTGGGGAAGTGGAGAGTGGTGGATGCTTCTTGCTGCTCAGAGCATGGCAGTAGGCACAGTCATGGTCCGTTGGGTTACCAAGTACTCAGATCCTATTATGGCAACTGGATGGGTAAGTTATTCTGAATTGCCCTCGCTCAGCTTATTGTTTGTCATACAATGATAGTCTTGATAATTAATGACATAGTTAATTGTCATTGGAATTTTTTCTTCTTTTTTTGTTTTCTATTCTCTTTTTAGGTGCTATTTATGTTTCTTGATTTATTCTTTTTTTTTGTTTTCTTATCTGGATGTTTGATTATACGTAGCTGTTTTCAGATGTAAATGGATGATATACAGAAAAATCAAGTTTGTTCTGAGATTGCCTTAAAATGATACTTGATGTGCCAATGCCAAAATTTGGTTTTATGCAAAGTTCAAGCAAATGGAAAGGAAATTGACAGTCTTACCTGAACTTTAATTGCAGCACATGGTTATCGGTGGTCTCCCTCTTGTGGTAATCTCTATTCTCAACCATGATCCCGCCTTCAGTGGGAGTCTTAAGGATTTGACAACATCTGATATATTGGCACTCCTCTATACCTCTATTTTTGGAAGTGCTATTAGTTATGGGGTGTATTTCTACAGTGCAACAAAAGGTTAAATTTTATACTCAGAACTCTATTTGCAAGCCTTTCTTTCTGTTCTTCATTTGGTTCTGTTTTATTTTTCTTTTAGTTCGTTTGCATGACTAATATCATGATTGGTATAAATGAATTTTATAAAATTTTCCAGAATTCATTTGAAATTTCTTGTTTTCTGTGTAAGAAAATTTCATTTTACTCGGATAGGATTCACATAATTAAGCCAAAGTTTATCATTTATAAATGAATTCTATACTTCGAGTTCATTTATACCAAACATGGATTAGAATTTAGTCATATGATACTTGCTCAAAATCATCTTTTTGCTTCGCGTTCTTGTGCTGTAATTTGCAGAGTCAGCACGTTTTAATTGCACTAAGATATTCAAGTCCTGATTTTACTTTTTGGATTTCCATAGGAAACTGATTTGTCATTGCTTATAATTTCAGGTAGCTTGACAAAGCTCAGTTCCCTCACATTTTTAACCCCAATGTTCGCTTCAATTTTTGGGTAAGATTCTTCAGTTAAAAAACAATAAAAGATTACAATTCAATTGCAATTTTCTAGATGAATCTTGTTAGAATGCAAGTTCAGATCTTAGTGCATTAATAATTGCATTAAATATCAGTGAAACTTCCAGTATTTTCTTGATTTATTCTTTGGCAATTGGATTAACTACAGGTTCCTATATCTTGGTGAGACCTTCTCATCCTCACAACTGGTGGGGGCTGTTCTTACTTTGGTTGCAATATACATGGTTAACTATCGTGAAAGTATTGAATGAAGCATTTTGCCTATAAGATGGATGCAAAGGGCAGGAAAATGCTGATGGTCTGGTTAGACTCCTGATTCTCTAGAGTGAGAATAAAGTTGATCAAAAGATATCAATCAACATATATGCTACCAGCTCATTAATATATCTGTGAATAATGGTCGGAATTGTTTGGTACCTTTTAAGGGTTACATATGATTCAAAGTGACAAAGCTGTTACCTCAAAGGGTCTGAATTGGATAGACTGCCTCTTGATGTCTAGAATTTCTCACTTCAAGACTATCGTTGTTTGTACCCTGGTTGGGAATCAGTTTTGCTGTGCATTTACTTGTACATAGGGAAACACTTGGAACTAATCTTCTTTTGAGAATGTATATATAGGAAATTCTACATTGTTCTTTTCCAAAATAAACAGTGCTTGTTAAATTATTGAGACAGGTCCCATCTTGTGATGGAGAGAGAGAAAGTAAAGTAGAAATAAAGTGATTAAAATCAGAGTTAGAAAGCATTGATGGAGGTGTGTGAATTCAGGGTTTTGCTGCATTTAGAAGTCATACTGTTTAGATTAATAGTTCTTTTATTGCTAGAAATTTGTAACCTGGCTAAATAGCTTGTTTTGTTTTGTAGTAATGTTTGTACATTCGGTTGTATTTTTGCCCCTATTTATTCACCCTTGAACAAGTTACATGCCAATTCAGTGTACTCTGCTTCTTGTCACCTTAGCAATTTCCCGTTTAAATTAATTTTTCTCATGATAGAAATTTGTAATGTTTCAGAAACTTTGAGATCTTTTTTTTTTTTTTTCCCTTATCTTTGTACATTTTGTAGTACATTTGGTGTTTTTGGTGTCTATAGCATGCTAATTGTTGAAGATGATCCGTTGGTGTTCATTGGTTGATCTCTTGCCAAGCAAAATGATACCTGCTCAACCTATTATTTTGGAACTTGAAAAATAGGTCGGCGTATCTTTTTCCATGGAAATTTCTTGCTTACAGTCGGTGCAATCAAAAAATGTTTTTTAAAAAATGTTACTGTTTTGTCATTCTTTTTCTAATTTATGGTCAGAATCTTCATTTTAATCAAAATACAAAACTCTGATTGTAATTGGTTTGGTGTACGAGTAAATTCGTGTGCGGTATAGGTAAGTTATTTCTCCCTCTAGTATTGTTATTAAGACCTAATTAGTGGATTTTAGTTTGTTATTGTATGAAATTAAATTAAAGCACTTGAGAAATTTGTCTGAGTTGGGTTGAAAAAAACCTGGAGTCATCGAGCTATACCTAAATAAACCTACGTGAAACCTGAAACAAACACTTACCCTCGTGCAAAATCTAGTTTTTCTATTGTAACAAATAAAAAAGAAACTATAAAATGATGATAGATTCAATTAAACAAGAAAAGAAGAGGTTGCTAGCTAGCAACCATCAAATCAAACAACTACAAATGTTTACAACTAGAAAACCACAAATCAGTGGGATTGAAAGAACAAAAAAGAACTATAATCAAATAACCAAATTTTTCACTCATTATCTCATATTGAAGCAACAATATGACTAGTACTAGATGGGTGAAGATTTTTGTTAGAACCAACTCTACCACGCCCAATACCAGTTCTCTGTCCACTAAATCCTTTCCTAGCAGCAACCTCTTCCTTAATACCATCATCCTCTTCTTTAGTGTTTGATCTTGTAGTCCAACGATCAGTTGACTCGGCCGAGTTGGGTTCCCATGAAGAAGAACCAGAGTAATATCCCCACTGCTGTTGGCTACCACCACCTCCTACATAGCTATTGCTGCCTGAGGATTCTTGTCCATCCATATCTTCTGCTGCTGTAACTGATGATGTGCCTCCTCTCCTTACTGTAACATATTTGTGTAAGCTTGGTTCCATTAGATCATCACTTACTATTACTTCAGATTCTACAAAAGGGTCTTTAGCTTCAGTTAGTTTCTTTCCAATAAGATTGGAGCTTCTTTTGTCTTCACATGAAATATTGGAACTTGTAGTGGAATTTAGATCAGCAACTGCTTCAAGAATGGAGCAGGCCTTTGTTACACATCCTGGAACTGTAAAGGAAGGGATGGTGGCTGTGGCGGCTGTGGCAGTGGGGGCGTTGGTGGTGGTGGAGGTGGTGTTCTTTTGGTGAAAATTTTGTATGTCTTCAAGTAATAATGCAGTGTATGATGGGGCTGTGGGATTCAATAAAGTTTCAGGATTGAAGTCTAGATCTCTAGATCTCCTTGCTGACCTACTTCTTGTTAGTGCTTGGGGTTTAGCCTCTTCTCCAAGGACTTGTGGCTCTCTCACAAAATTGCTGATCACTTTGCAATTAGTCCCATGAGCACCCTGTCTGTTTGTCTCAGAAATTGTTTTCTGCATTTGAACCTAAAAAAGATAACAAAAAACAAAAGAGAAAGAGTCATTTTTTCATTTCTTTTTAGGATGAAATGAATTGTAGATAGGAAAATGCAAATTTAAGAAAAATTTAAGGTATACCTGATTGATTGATTCTTTCTCCACTGCTTGTCCTTCCATTTCTTTGTTTCTAGTTTGAACTCTGCTTGTGCTATTGTTGCTTTTGTTATTGCCAGTTGCTTGTGAATACATGAGAGAGTTTGGATCAATTTCACTTAATGGGTTTCTCCTACAAGGAGATTGCTCTGCTTTTCTTGAAGAACTCCGACTAAGTGATGGCTGCTGCTGATTATTCTCATTAGAACTCCTACCGTTTGTTCTCGCCGGGGACTTTGAGCGAGGCGATGCAGCAGTTCTTGCCCCTGCCTCTCCAACATTTCTCTTTACAGAGATCCTTTTAACGGCAGTTGAACCTGTTTGGGCCTCAACGCCATTATTGTTGTTGCTTTTATCCATTGTTAAAGAAGAAACAGTAGCAGGAACTGAAACCATCTTTCCAGGCCTATTTGTAGTAGAAGATGAATTGTTAACATTGGTAGTAGCATTCGAATTTGCAGTACCACTATTGGTTTCTGATCTTCTACCTGGAGATCGACTCACTCTTCTCCCACTATTGCTACTGCCTCTTTCTCTGCTACCAGACCTCTGGTCTCTTTCCCTACTGGGTGTCCTTCTCCTTCCTTGTGAAGATGAAGAAGGAGAAGGCCTACCACCTGAATTACGATGCCGCTGGCGATGTTGTCTTCGCTCTGCTATCTCACAATCATCATCATCAATATCATTGGAATCTCTCTTCTTATAATCATAACTAGCATTAGCATTAACATTAACATCCTCCGAATCTTGATCTTGATCCAAATCATAGCTTCTTTTCGAGCCGGAGTACTTCCTACCAGAAGAGGCAACCTTGCCGGAAGAATTACTCCGGCTAAGCCTACCACATTGTATAAGAATAGCATCTACTTCTTCTTTAGTACAGCTTGAAGTCCTCACCACCATACTAGTATTACTACCAACATTGTTGTTAATTTCAACATCAACAGAGCAATCGCTAGGATTAGTGCTTTTTTCTTCTACAGCAATAGGCACATCTTTTTGACAAGGAATGGAGGGTTTTTCTCTATCATGGCTCTTTCTATGTTTTATAACAAAAACCTCCTTCTTCACTATCCCTTCATCTTCTACTTCTACTTTATTTTTCACTTGCTCTTCCTGAACGACCTTTCTCTTGATCTTTACCACCTCCGCATCTCCTACTGGTTCTTTAGCTGCAGCAGAGGCAATGGTAGCTGCAACATTCAAAGAAGAAGAAGAAGAAGAAGAAGAAGAAGGCCCATTTTTCCTGCTTAAACAGCCTCCCATGGCTGTTTTTTCTGGGTGACCCAATGAAACAGAGAGAAAAAAAAAGTTGCAGAAATGGTGAAAGCACGGAATTTGAATTCAGTATAGAATGGGTAATGGGTAATTAATTGCTAAACGCTCTCTCTTGTTAATAGATAAGAGAAAGAGGTTCGTTGTTCAAGAAAACATTTTCAAAAGAGGAACTTTTGGATATTAATAGAGAGAGAAGCATTTCAAATTTCTGAGAGAGAGAGAGAGAGAGAGAGAGAGAGAGAGAGAGTGCGGCAGATCTGGAAAGTTAAAAAAAGAGTTATAGCCGTTACAGAGTAGAGGGAGTGAAGGATAGCCGTTGGATGAATCTTTTCTTTTCCTTTTATTTTTTTTACTGTCCCCACTAACTGAACTAACGACAGAGACGTCTCACAAAATACAAAATTCCTTTTAGTTATTTACTCATTATTTTTTATTATTTTTTCAAAAAATATATTAATTGCTTAAAAAATACCAAACATTCTCTTATTATAATCATTATTCTTAGAATCTTTTAACAAGTTCATGTTTCAATTCAAATTTCTCCAACGGCTATTTAGCCTTCAATTTGAATATGGTTGTGTTAATTTTTTTTTAATTTAATAATTTTATTTTGTTAATTCAACTTTGAACCTTTGGTTAATTGATTTTTTTTTTATTTGATCAATAATGCTCTGAAATTCTTATTTTTAGTCAACAGAATTTCAAATAAGTAACTGTATATGATAGTAATGAATGGTGAGAGTTCTTTTCATTATTATGTTTTCATCGTTAAAAGAAGCTTATAGTAATGATAACATTTCCTCATTAATATTTCATAATAATGATAATTTCATTTTATTATATAAACTAGCATTTGCAAACGAGACTGGGGTGAGCATTTAGTTGGCTCGATGCAAATCAAAACATATTTCTTCAAATGAAATTGAATCAATTCCAAACCGGTTAGATTCATGTCGGTTTGGTTGGATTTTGATCATTTTCTTTTGGACTTTTTTAGATTCTTTAAATTGAATCAAACCAAAAACATTTTATAGTTTTCCTTCATTAATTGAAATTAAAATCGGTTAAAAAATATCAAATCAATTCGAAGCGGTTTGAGTTGGTTTTTGGTTCACCGAACCATTTAGCCCAAAATGAGACCTATCTTCTATATTTTCGGTTGAAAAACTTATTTTATCAATATTTTTAATGACTTCTAACGTTATTGTGTAATAATTTAATTAATTAAAAAATAATAATTCTTAAGGTGTAACTGACTTAAATTAAATAGAAAATAGTTAACTAACTAGTTTACAAGAATTTAATTAATTAAAAATAATAATTTTTAAGGTCTAACTTAAATTAAAACAAAAAGAAGGAACGAGACTCAATTTGCTCTCTGATCTTGCGCACACCATACAATTTACTCAAAAATTAACTTTTTGTACATATTACTCCTTAAACTTATACCAAAAGTACAGATTGCCCAATTCTTATCTAAAAATAATTATTTTGTATAAATCAAATATGATTAAAAAATTAATTAAATATTTGATCGAAATCAAATATAATTAAAAAAATCAAATAAAAAAATAATAAATATTTTTTAACCAAATATTTCAATATATAATCAAATCTTTTTCTAATTCTATAATTTTTTTTTAAATCAAATATTGTAAATTTTTATAATTATTCATACTAGTACAAAAATTAACAAAATGGTATAACATTGCAACGAAGGTAAAAGATAAAAAAAAAAAAAGTGCATTTTAAAAAATGCAAGGATAAAGCATCGTATTTTGACAAAATATAAGGATAAAATACAAGTTTTCCATATAATAATTAGTGTATGAGGTTTAGCCAACTAAAATATTTAGTCCTTCCTAGAAAGACTAAATCTCTCTCATTTCACATAAGCATTAACCCCTAAGTATTTTCCATTTGAATTAATTCTCTCTCAGTAATTAACATCATTACATGGAGAGGGATCAAATTAATGACATACATCCTCTCTAAGCAGAAACCATATAGAAACACCCAAAAGCAGAAGACAATGACCAAGTAAGAGAGCCTGCGTTAACATCCTTAACAAACAAGTAAAGCGTTAACAAGAGTGCAAAAAGGCTTAATTATAAATTTAGTGTTTGAATTTTCGAAAATTTTCTATTTTAGTGTCTCAACGGAAAAATTTTGCAATCAAGTGTGTGAATCCCAAAATTATTTTCGATCTAATTTCTCCGTCCTACGTTGCATGCTGGAAATACAAATAGGGCGGGAGACTTTGTGCCACAGTGGAATTTTTGTTGACATGAAAATGAGGGTTAAGTTGTCAACACCTAATTAGCCGTTGTTAGTTGATTGGAATAAGTTGAAGATTACTAAATTACCCTTCTGTTTAAAACGCTATACATTGAAGTCATCATTCAAATATGTAGAATTAGGGTTCAAGATAACAAAAATTTAAAGAACTTAAGACAAACATATTGTTTTCGTTGGAGATGGAAAACGTGTTGCAAATGTGGGAAACGTTGCATAATTTGTATGTCGTGGACGGATTAGAACCCTGGAAGAAGATTTATCAAGAACACAAAGAAGTGAGGGAGCGAGATGCGAGTTCTTCGAATGGGTCAATCTAGTGATGTGCAGTAGATCTAAGTAGATAATTCCTGACTTGCTTAGAAAAGTGAACCATTTGGAGGTAGAATTGAGGGGGTGATAGAGAAGGGAGAAATGGTTATGGGTTTGGTTTATGTTTTTCATTATTGTGATATTATTAAAGTAATAGTAACTATGAATGGGTGGGTTTTTCTTGTAGTTGTAGCTTTGTAGGCATGTGTGGGAAGTGGTGACTTGGATTGCCAAGCAGAAAATTCCTTAGCTAAGTTTGTAGCTTTGACTGGCTAGGCTAATTCTGTGGCTTTGTTTGCATTTTGCTACATGCAGGGGAAGTGTTTGACACAATGCCTTAATGAAAAATTAATGAAATTAAGCCTTATTTTGTAATCATGTCAAGCAAACGTTCTTTATACATAATTTCATCAAGCTTGTAATTACCAGTTATCCTAATAAAGCATTATAATTTTGAAATGCAATGTTCATTTTTTTTTTTTTTTTTTTTTTTTTATGCAATGTTCATTTTTTTTTTTTTTTTTGTTTTGCTTGTTTGCATTCCAATACATGTATTGCAAGACTGATGAGTGTAATGTCTCAATTGAATTTTTGATATAAATTGAAGGCTTTCGTTTTTTTTTTTTTTTTTTTTTTTGCTTTGTTTGCATTCCAATACATGTATGGCAACTGTTTGATGTAATGTCTCAATGAATTTTTGATATAAATTAAGCTTTCTTTTTGCAATCCTGTCAAGTAAACATCATTTTTTATCAATTAATTCAACTTGCAGTTATTAGTTATTCCAGTACTTGATTGAACATAAAGTATGTACAAAAGAATTTTGAAATTGCTATAAAACAATACTTGATTGAACATAAAGTGATTTGCTATCTGGAAATTGATATAAGTAATAGCATCATTAATCCTGAAGCTATGAACACTTCAATGACATCCAAAAAATACAAAGATAAAATTCATACACCTATACTAATATGTATCTGTGTTATCCAAAATAATACCACTTGTTAATATTACAAAGTCAATAATTATGGTATCCAAAATAGTTTGTTGGAACAAAAATAGGCAATTTAGCATCTTAGGTCACTACTTTGCTGTTGATTCCTGTGTCCCCAAAGTTGCATCATCATTTGTGTCCACTCTAGCAGTTTCAGCACCAAATTTTCCCTTCTTTATTATAGTAACAGCAATTGGTGCAGACCTTGCAGTTGCTTCCATCCTTTGCTTTTGCGCCTTATTCTATGAATCAACAATGCACCAATATCAATCAACAATATCATATTCCACCAATCATCAATTAATCATCTATCAATCATCATCATTCATATCTGAAAATTAACAAGTTGCATGAAATAACATATTACCTGCAATTGGCTACATGTAATGAAGTGGTAGCCACGTTTTTTGAATCCCTCAATCTTTTGAGACATGAAGCTAGGTTCAGGAGGGTTTCTTTCCCTTATTCTTCCTATTGAATTTAATGGCATCTTAACTATTGTTCCAGGTTGTAAATACCTAACAAAACATAAGAATATTTGCAATCATCCAAGAAAACATTGAATATTAAATCAATTAAGTTGCAACTCACATTCATAGTGACATTGCCCCTTGCATCAGTATATGCTCCATATCCATGCACTTTTTGACTAGTTTTGTCTCCCCTTAATACAAAGTATGCCTGCTGATTGAAGAACAAGGTTGGCTTTTCAACTTGGTTCTGAGCTGCTGACTTCTCCCTTCTGCATTTTTCTCTTTGCTCTGAGTTACTGAATTTTTCCTTTGTCTCTCATTTCCTGCACTTTTCCCTTTGTTCTGAGTTGATGACTTTTTCCCTCTCCTCACCTATTAACAGTATGTGTCATTAGAAAAAAAAATTTCGGTTGTGTATTAAAGGGTTTGAAGAATTACTTAATTCTTAGAGGGCCTCTGATGCACCTCTGCTGCTCCAATGTCATGACAAAGGGTAGACATGGTCTGCAGTGGCGTTTTAGTATTAACAGCACCATTTACAGTTGACACAGATATGAACATCATATCTCCACCTTCAACTGGTTCACTTGCATTGTTCCTCTGAATAAACTTGCAATTTTTCTTGTTGTGTCCCTTTTGAAAATAGGCCTGACAAGTCATGAGCTTATCCTTCTTACTCAAATTTTATGCTCCCACCTTTTAGCTCACCCTCTTCTCTCAGTCTATTCTTCTTTGGTCTACCTAGTGTCCTATCATTCTTGGGGGTACAAGGCCTTCCTTTCCTGATTTTCTCTAAAACTTGCTACTGTTCATTGGGCTAAGCATGTGTGTGTATGTCTTTAAATACTTAAGTTTTCTAAACTAGTCACTTATATAATCATAAGGATTCCTCTCAAGTTCATTGATACCATAGATTGCATGACAACAAGGTATACCAGACACCTCCCAAACATATATGGACATGTGTGATTTTTCAAATCTATTACATAAGTGTCCCCATCATGAAGCACCTCAACCCCATCTGCCCCATTCCATGTCATTTGGCAATATCAATTGATTTCAAGATTAGTATGTACTCTTCTCCTCATTCAATTTCCATAATCACCTAACCACTTTTCAATTTGATCCCTATTTATGTGCAATCTAGTCATGACAAGCCTCTTAATATCCTCTAACATAGATATTATATTCTTAATTCTTGGTTCTATAATCCTACTGTTGAAAGCTTCACATAAATTATAGTCCACAATATCATACTTTACCTCTGTGGTGAAGTAGGCTCTGCACTCATGACTTGGATGAGTGTTGAGGATATCATCAAATCTTTGTTTGGACATCTTTTTGAGCTCATTCATATTGGCTTCAAAGTCAGGGATGTTATATGACTTAACACAAGCCCAAAACTACTGATGTAGTTCACTGCCTTTGTGTTTTTTTCTCCAATTGGCATAAATGTGTCTTGCACAATAGTTTTCTCACATAGGGGCAGTTTCTCATAGATTGCATTAAGTAATCCCTACCACAAACCATAAATTTCAATTAAAAGCATGCACAAATATAAAGTTGTAAATCATAATCAAAAAAGGAGTACACTAACATCATATGTTTTACCTTTAGCTGGTCAAAAATGAATGTCCACCCTTCACCATCAGTGATACTCAAGTCAATCTTCAACTGATCAATGAACCAATGCCTTGTTGACTTGCATTCAATATTTACAACAGCCCATGCAATGGGATACATCTGATTATTGTCATCCCTACCCATTACAATTAGCAATTTCCCCTTAATTACACCTTTAAGAAAACACCCATCTAGCCCGACTGCCCTCCTACACCCAAATAGAAACCCTTTCTTCGGTGAGTCAAAGTAGATATACATTCTGTCAAACATAGGAATACCGATAGGAATGGGTCTTTGAACTCATAAGTTGTTGCTACTTCCAGGATTTGATCTTGTGATTTCACCCAAATAATCCCAAAGCTTAACATACTCACCCTTTGCATCTTCATTTAACCTAGGCAAAAACCGCATTTTTGCTCTCCTCAACTTAGTAATACTTACTTCTAAACTAACATCATTCTTAACATGTTTCTTAAGATCAATAAGGGTCATTGTCTCACATACAACAATCTTTGGCAAAACATGCATTGCCATCCATTTGGAACTACACCTTCTGTTTTCCAATGATATGGAGCATGTATGCTCATTTCTAAAAGTTTTCGCAACTATATCATTCCTAGAATCTTCCATGGATGCATAAATCATCTAAGGGCACTCTTTTTTCACACACTTTGCCCTAAATTGTATGCTAGTATTTCTAACAAACTTAACCTCCCTTCTCTCTTGTATTGCAAATGTACTAACAGCCTCTTTAAACTCTACATCATTCTTAAATGTCATACCTAAAGCAAATGTAATCTTTTCAGCATTAGGATTAAAGGCTTTGAATTTATCTTTTCTTCTCCTAATATCATGCTCTCCATCACTTCCATCAGTACTTTCTACACTGAGATCTCCATCAGAATCTGCATAGTCAGTTAGATTTCCATCTTCACAGTTTGCATCAGGTTCTCCATTAGGTATGGTAGTAGCATTTGAGGGTTGAGGAGTTAGTTGTACCCATTTCTTTGTTGTTGACTTCTTTTTATTTTCTTTAAACCTTCTCACAACATTTCTTGCTTCTTGCAACTCTTCATCATCCCCTAACATCCACTCACACTTAACCAATTCCTCATCTTCATCTTGTGGCAGATTCTGTTGTTCAGTTTCATCAACAGTAGGAACTTCCCCACCCCCAACATTTACATCAATAACACATTCCTCAATATTCACACTCACATCAACCCCCCCCCCCCCCCCCCCCCCCCCTCCAGTCTTCAGTCTTGTGGCAGATTCTGTGGGTTTCAGTTTCATCAAACAGTAGGAACGTTCCCCACCCCCAACATTTTACATACAATAACACGATTTCCTCGGATTATTCCACTCACATCAACCCTCTCCCCGCCCCCCCCCCCCCCCCCCCCCCCGCCCCCCCGCCCCCCCCCCCGCCCCCCCCCCCCCCCCCCCCCCCCCCCCCCCCCCCCCCCCCCAACCTACTTAAAATCTGGACCATTTCTCCCTAACCCCATTGAAGATCTCCGATTAACTCTTCAACTCCCCTCAACTCTCTCATTTAATCTTTCTGAACCTAACCCCAGCAGCCTCATCCCATCTCCACTATTATTTAACCTCATCCCTAGGTTGTCAAAGTCATATATATTGGACTCACCTTACCGCTCTGAATTACTTTTCTGAGCATTAAAATCTATGCTCAGTATTATATTTTCAATCCTTTTTTTTTTTTTTTGCTAGCTCAAGGCATGTCAGACAATGAACCCCAGCCACAGCTCCTTTTTTTTTTTTTTTTGCTAGCTCAAGCATGTCAGACAATGACCCACTCCACACTACTCTATACCCATGTGCAAAAGTGTCATCTACAGCTTTAAAGTGCATTTGCACTATTGTTCTAATATCCATCTCATTCTGGATTTTTTGAATAAAAGAGTCCAAACAGAAATTAGAAACATTTATCCCAACTTGTATAAAATCACCCCTCCACATATTCCCTATGTATATACCTCTCATTACTGAAGAAAATACCACCATAGTAGACATCAATTACAGCCTTTGCCATCCTTTAAAAGAAAACAAAAAACAAAATATGCACTTCTTCTTGTAAACAAAATATTATTTCTTCACAACATGCAAACAAAATTCTATAAGAAAACACCAATACAACAACACTCTATATGAGTTCAAGGGTTTTCGATACTAACCTTCTTCGACAGAAACGATTGAGGTCAAGAATACATCCTCTTTTTAGATTTTCTCAGATCACTCGCCCAATTCAACGAATAGTTAAGGATTTGTCATGCGAAACACTCGCTAGGGTTTTTCTGTCTTTGAGAGAAATTGGATTGGAAATATGCGTGTTTGTTTAAATTTTTACTTAGAAATCCTATTTTTTCTGTCATGCAGGTTTCTTGAAAATCAATAATAAGGGCACCAACATCATTTCATAAATCATAATCCTATTTTTTACACGTAAATCCAACATGAAAATATCCTATTTGGTACCATTTTAAACATCAGTGGGCCCTTACCGTCCTATTTATATCTTTGGCATGCCACGTACGACGGAGACATTAGATTGAAAATAATTTTGGGATTCACACATTTGATTGCAAAATTTTTCCGTTGAGACACCAAAATAGAAAAAATTTAAAAGTTCAGACACTAAATTTATAATTAAGTCGAGCAAAAATGGCAATCCCTTCAATCTTTATATATAAACAAGAAATATATCTAGGAGAAATGACAACCAAAGCAATAGCAACAAGGCCGCTTCTGTTTTGTGATTTTTTTTGGATCTTTTCTTTTTTTTTCTGAAAAATCATATTATTATTAGCGTTATAGATAAAGATCAATTTTCGCTATGGAGGACAGAAAAAAAAAAAAAAGAAAAAGAAAGCGTTGAACATGGTTTATATGAATATGAATATAGTGTGTATGTAAGAATGAGAAGATATGTGGGGCAACTAAGTGAATGCACATCTAGAATCTATAGATTCTAGCTGGCACTGCTTGTGCCAAAGATCTTTACCGTTGATTTAGTTAAAGAGCAGTGCTAAATGGCACAACATGTGCCTGGCTCAACTAGAATCTATGATTGTGCATTTACTTAATTGCCCACTTGTTAATTTCTTTTCATCACTTCTTGCTCTGTTTTATCTTCTAAATTATCCCTTCCCTTTCTTTCACCTCTTTTGAATTTGGACTACTTAAAATAGATATCTACCACCACCAGCATGTTGAGATTTTAGAAGGAAAAATGAAAATGTACAAGATGATTACTAATGTTTTGCACTTCGTGTTTTTTTGCACTTCGTTAAATTAACAAAAGAATGTGCCTATTTATAGGCTTACAAGTGAATCAAATAATACCTAAAAATACTCCTAAAAATATACCTAAAAATACTCCTTAAAAATTATTAATCCTCATAACAAAAAATATCAAATCTATGCAGAAAAAATCTGCACTAAAAAATTGAAATCTGCAACAGATTTTTTCATAAATATTTATTTTTTGAATTAATCCTAACATTCTCTCTTAATTCAAACATTAATATTTATTACCAATAATTAAACAATTAAAATTATTTAATCTAGCATTTGAAAGCACCTCTCTTTCAATTTTGATTTTGTTGAAGCACTTCTCTCCAACTCATCATTTTTGATGCCACTTTCTCACCAAAAATATTGATTGCCTTCTCACTTCTCAACCAAATATTGAGCACTCTCATCAAACTAGCATTTTTTTTTTTTGAAGCACTTCCCTTCAAATATTGGATGCACTTCTCATCACTTTCTTTTATTTGAGCACATCTCTCCAATGTTCTCTTTGGAGCCACATCTCTCCAATACTCAAAGAAAAGAAGAGTTTCCTTTCCTCTTGCCCACAAAATTTGATTGATTTTATACCTCAATCTTTTTGAATTATTGAAGGCAGGTTTTTGGCTTTTTGAATTTTTGGCTTTTTTCTTCGCTATGATTTCTTAATTTAACCTAGTTGCGGTTGGATGGCCAATGGAGAGATTTCTTTTTCTGTCTTCAACATGCTCCCATAAAAGTCATAAGCTTGAAAATAAGCTTTCATTTTTAACAGCTCGATTAAAATAAGCTTTCATTTTAACAGCTCATAGCTGATAATTTTCACCAACAAAAATTGGAGGGGAAGAAAATGGAATAGTGTTTGTGGCCATTTAACAGACAGACTCTGATACCATGTTGAGATTTTGGAAGGAAAAATGGAAATGTACAAGATGATTAATAATGTTTAGCACTTCGTGTTTTTTTGCACTTCGTTAAATTAACAAAAGAATGTGCTTATTTATAGATTTACAAGTGAATCAAATAAGACCTAAAAATACTCCTAAAAATCATTAATCCTAATGACAAAAATATCAAATTCTATGCAGAAAATCTGCACTAAATAAAATTAAAATCTTAATAGATTTTTCATAATATTATTTTGAATTAATCCATCCTTATCATTCACAATACTCTCGATGGAGAAAGCGATGCTGGTGGTGGCCTTTGATGAGTTAGCTCCATCTACTGTGAACTCATCATCAGACACCCAAATACCCACAATTTTCATAATAACTCGAATACCCATTTACAATTGGATCCTCATACACCCCTATCTTGGTAGAGTGACCGACTTCTTCATGTAATACATATTGGGATAAGGAGGATTGGAGCAGGGATGTGGTTATGGGTATGAATATGGATATGGATTTGGATTTGAATTTTCTCCAGTATAATTTTTGTTATGAATTAATCTCAAATAATTCCACAATAACCTAAATCGTGCAAACCACTGGATTCAACAAAATAGATTGAATAAGAAAAGGTTGCGTGCGTACCTGACATCGCTTGTTCGTCGATTTTGTATGGTGTAGAATTAGGTTGCAGCTTCCAGAGAATTGAAGAATCGATTCTTTTAGCGGAAGCAGTACCAAGCGAAGTAAAACTGAATCTATTTCAACTCCTCTGGGACCCCGAAACCTTTATATAGCTGTTATAGTGTTTAGTACAAAATCCTATTTTCGGTGTCCTTTTTAACGAAATGGAATTTATAATTGGTTCTCTACACTTAATATCTCATAATTAGCTTGATACCATCTTCAATAAGTCAATTATTTCACAATCAGACAAATTTTTGAAATTGACTTTACAATTAGACTGTGACATATTTTAATTACATATTTAAGGCCCCACCAATAGAAAATTCAATCCAACAAAAGACCACATTTGAAATTGACTTTACAATTAGACTGTTGTACATATTTAATTTTACATATTAAGCCCACAATAGAAAATTAAATCCAACAATTTTAACCCCAATTCTCATGGAGGATAATCATCAAAATCATAAGAAGTTGAAGGTATTACTGATACTTTTCTTCCTTTGGCGTATCATGGATATGAATGACTCGAATCAGAATCCAAATTCGACCTGGACAAATGCAAATGCGAATCTGTATCCTCCTCTTCCTCTCTGTTTTGCTCTTATTATCTATGAACTTGTTCTATAGGTCTTCATATCCAATAATACAATATTACACAAATATAAGCCTTAAAGATAAAAATATACAAATTGAATTAAGGGTCCTGATGTTTCTTTTAGAGACAAACTCTCCCATGGTTCTACTCCAACAATTGTCTCTTTCCTCTGTTCTTTGCTGTTGTTGATACACAGAGATGCTAGACAGCGCTTTAAGAAAAAAGCTCTTAAGATGAAGCTATAGATAGAAAGGTATTATAGATACTTTCTAAATCAAGATTCAAGTTGAGTCGGTCTCGGCTTAAGCCAAATATGTTTATTGGTAGTTAAACTATTAATTGTACATGAACAATAGAAATCAATTGATACTAATATAAAATTAAAACGTGAATAGAAATGTTTAAAAACTGTATTATGACTGAGATTGTATTAAAAGAGAGGATAAGATTGATTGATTGATGATACCCGATTTTGGGTATTATGTAAATTGTAATTAAATATATTGAGAATTATTGATTTAATAGGATGGACGGTGTAATTTATAGGGGAGATTGTATTGAAATTTTGATAGAAATTTCAAAAATAATAAAGAAATGAAAGATGTAGATAAGCAGAAAATATAAAAATACTAAATGAGCTCCAAGATAAAATTAATCAAATTGAATAATAATCATTCGTTTAAAAACTAAAGTTATATTATTTATAAAATATTGAGGATGGTTTTCTGAATATAAAATTGTAAATAGGAAATTTAAGGAAGCGTCTGTGTATTGTAACTAATAATTTATAATGCGTTCTTTTAAAAAATCATACATTAGTCTTTATCATTGCATAATAGGCCCAGTGGCAAAATTCATTCTATACTTTATATAGAAAATTTTGTGATACCCTCGATTTTTACTTTGATATGTTGAATATTTCAACTTATAAAAATTATTTTGTTGAATATTTAAATTTCTAAAATTAAATCAATTACAGTAATCACATATTAAGTGAATATCTTGCATATAAATATCAAAAATAACAAAAAATATTATTATTAATACAAATGAAATATTCGTAACTTTAAAAATATAATATATCACTGAAAAAGTTCAAGATATCACGAGATTTTTCCCCTAAAATAGAAAGGCATATTTATGCATTTGTCCTTGCATAATACGTATAAAGTCAGTTTTGTGTTGCATTGCAGGAACAAGGACCTGAACTTTCAGCTGCTTTTCATTATCTAGACCAGCGTGCACTCATGCCAGGCATGGAAAACCGAACTCTGAAGCAGCGTTTGGATAATGTCTCAAGAACAACTAATAACATACTGTAAGTAGTTTTCTTTTTTATTACGGGGTAGTATGAAATGTCAGGATTTGAATATTCGATTTTGAGCAATATGAGACAGGATGTTTAATCATTAAATTAAATTATTAGTGCAAAAATGATTTTATTCCATGAATTTATTATTACCAATTCTGGCTCATTTTAGGCTTAATTTAGTTCGATTTTTATTTTGAGTTTACGGTTTTCAATAACAAAAACCGAATTGAATTGAAAACAAATTCGATGTTTTCAATTAAAACCTAAACCAAATGATATTTTTGGAAACCAAAGCAAATTGAATTGAACCAAATCAGTTGGATTCAAATTTCAGTATGAACAATTTCTAATCATCCCTTATTCTATGAACTTGGAAATATTTTTTCTGAAAATATTTTATGCTACACTGAAAATACAAAATTCCATTAATGCATAAATGTCTACAGTAAAGTAGGAAATCCTAGAGAGAGAAGCAAAAGCAAAAGCAAAAGCGTTCAACATATTACCAATCAAAATGTTGTTAGAGCCAATCTCTTAGAAATGTGCTTGTTCAAGATAGTATAACCGAAACTCTGTTTTAACTACAGGGAGAAAACTAGAATTTAGACATTGGAAGTATGAAACAAAAATAAAGCTAGATTTTAAGTTCTGCGGGAACGAATACGTATATTTTTTAAAATATAAATAAAATTTAGGAGAAAAAAAAATTGAATTTTGAAACATAAATGAATGTAAGAAATTGCAGAATGAGCATGATGATGAACTAGTAACCTTTCTTAACAACTGGAAACTAGAATGCCTTGGTTGAATCCACTAAGAACAATCAGTTCAGCAATTGGTTCACTTTAAGAACTATCTGAAGTAGGCAAAATGTTACCTCAGTTTCTGTTTAAGCGTCTTAACAGAAAGAACAGACTTCTGCAGACTCATCACTATCAGAACACAAATGGAGATTGTCTACCTTTTAAGGATGTCAATTCATTACATAACATTTATATACAGTTAGATATGAAACCTTAAAGCCCAATAATGGATTCCACAAAATTTGTGGAATCCATTTGGAGCCTAACATTTTCATGTTTGATATTAATGAAAATGTTCATTTCACTTCTACAAACTAAATTTTATTAAGTTCATAACTAAACAAAATTCTATCATTGGTAAAAATTCTATATTTCGAATTCATTTATATCAAATAAGGAACGAAATATGTTCTTTACCTCAACATGTTCCTTACCTGACTTTCATAGAATTCCATGCTGCTTTCTTTTTCTTCCATCTTAATCTTACCATTTTCTCATGTTTCCATTGTCTAAATCTCTCTCTATTCTTCAACCAGGCAGAGTAATCCTTTCCTGGCTTGCACTCAATGAAGTCAGCTAAATCATCAATATCAGATTTTTGGGGATTTCCTCTTTGTACGCACTTCAGGAATATCTCACCGTTACAGGTTTCCTCAGAATTGTCTGCTAGAACACAACCTAGGCCTTTCTGGACAAAGGCATATTCTGAAGTTTCTACTTGCCTGTCTTGTTTTCCTTCCTTAGGGCACGAGAATGAGCATATTCTGAAAATAGAACAATAAAAGGGAAATTATAGTCTTGAGTGAGGAAAGAAAAGGTAAAGATTTACAGCCTGCCTAAATAGAACATATAGCAGGATTTTATAAGGGCAATGGGATGAATAAAACCACCAACAAAGAAAGCAAACATATATCATCAGTATCACACTCCAAGAAAAAGAATAGCACCAGGGAAGATTGTTCTTTTCTTAAATAACAATGAGATAAACATCAATTCAATGTCTCCTAGGATCATTAGCGGAGGAAAAAATCCACAAGACCAACTACAAAACCAATTTCAGCAGAGAATCAAACAAGCACTAGAGCCTTGAAGTGTGTGTTTGTTGGTTACTCTGCTACTCAAAAAGGATACAAGTGTTATCATCCTCCTAGAAAATATTTTGTGAGTATGGATGTTATTCAGCAGAGGAATCAAACAAGCACTTAGAGCCTTGAAGTGTCTGTGTTTGTGGTTACTCTGCTACTCAAAAAGGATACAAGTGTTATCATCCTCCTAGAAATTTTTTGTGAGTATGGATGTTACCTTTCGGGGAATTTGAGTCTTTTTCCTTCCCAATCACCTCTTCAGGGGGTGAGAAATATCAGATGGAAGAGGTGATGACATGACGTTCCTTTGCAGGGGGAGTTTCCTGTTAAGACATAATAGTAGGAAGAGAAACAAACCCAAAACCTCTGAAAGATTGGGATAGACCTGATTTTGAAAACCTTACACACGACGGGACTAATTACAGATACAACCATGGAGCATGAGACCTCTGATTCAAAAAAACCGTTTTTTTCTTTTCTCCCAATTTTTTTTTTTTTTTTTTTTCAGGGGGCCCCTCTTTTTAAAAAAAAATTTTTTTAACAAGCCCGAAACAAAAAACTTGGTGAAGTCCTTCTTTATTCCTTTGATGATTTTCTTGAATCCTAATCTTGATTTCCAGCCCTTTCTGACAATGACTTGATATTCCTATTGCTCTTAGAAAAGGAGATTAAAACATGCACTAAAACATTCCCATCTCCCATTTCATCTCCTAAATGCTCTGCCCCTTCCATAGAGCCTTTGTTTTGTCTGTTTCTTCTGGTTCTCTATACCGCAGGATTGGCAAGAGGGGCATTTACAGGACTTCAAAATGGGAGGGCTGCAATGGGTTGAGGAGATGAAGAGCTTTGGGCAACAAAAACGAGACATGGGATCTTGTAACTCCTCCATTAGGAAAGAAGCCAGTTGGATGTAAATGAGTGTTCACAGTTAAACATAAGGCAGATGGTTCCATTGAGAGCTACAAGGCCAGATTGGTAGCCAGAGGGTTCAGTCAGACCTATGGAGTTGATTACCAGGAAACTTTTGCCCCTGTAGCCAAAATGAATACAATTAGAATTTTGTTGCCTTGTGCAGCTAATCTTGACTGGGAATTACATCAGTTTGATGTTAAAAATGCTTTTCTACATGGTGATTTGTAAGAAGAGGTATATATGGAGATTCCTCCTGGATTTGATGATGACAAGACCAGAGAAAAAGTTTGCAAGCTAAAGAAGTCATTGTATGGGCTGAAGCAATCACCAAGGGCATGGTTTGAAAGGTTTAGTAAAGTTATGCTTTCTTTTGGGTACATGCAGAGCGATACTGATCATACTTTGTTCATTAAACATCATAAAGGTAAGATACTTTGTTCATTAAACATCATTAAAACGGCTAAAGATCACATTGTGCTTATTGTTTATGTGATGATATAGTGATGACTATGAAATAATGAGAAGGAAATGACTCACTTGGAGAAATTTGTTTAGCTAGGGAGGTTTGAGATTAAGGATTTGGAAAGTTGAGATATATTTCTTGGGATTTAGAAGTTGCTTAGATCAGAAAAAGGGATTTTTATTTCTCAAAGAAAGTACATCCTTGATCTCCTTAAAAGAAACTGGGATGTTGGATTTGTAAACCCGCAGGAATCACCTAATTGAAAGCCAATCATAAGCTTCAAGCTGGAGTGGAAGTTCAGTGAATGTTGGCCAGGTATCAGGAGATGTCGGGAGGTTGATTACCTTGCCCATACTAGACAGATATTGCCTATGCGTTGTAAGTTTAGTGGAGTTCAGTTACAATGCATTGACCCTTCGGGAGTCTCATTTAGAAGCTTGCTTGCATCGGATTCTAAGATATTTTAAAATTTCGCTCCTGTAAAGGACTTTTTATTTTCTAAAATGGCCCATTTGACAATAACGAAGCTATACAGATGCGGATTGGGCTGGTCTCTTGATGATTTAGGGAGAAGAATTTTTTTCAAAAAACTTTCAGGATATTGTGTTTTTGTTGGAGGAAACCTTGTCACATGGAGAGAAAGCAGAAGCAAGCTGTTGTTAGCAAGGTTCTAGTGCAGAAGAAGTTTGAAATATAGAGCTATGCACAGGGGAATCTGGAACTTCTATGTTGCACAGATTAAATTAATGGAAGAGTTAAAGTTGGTTGAAATAATAAATATATCCTTATTTTGTGATAGTAAAGCTGCCATCGGTATTATGAACAATCCAGTCCAGCATGATCGAACTAAGCACATAGAGATTGATTGTCACTTTATAAAAGAGAAGTTAGTTGAAGGTTTTATAAGTGTCTCTTATATAGCTTCAAAAGAGCAACTAGTTGATGTTTTCACAAAAGGTTTGAATAGCAAACTGTTTCATCTTTTAGTTTGCAAGTTGGACATGAGTAATATCTATGCACCAACTTGAGGGGGAGTATTGAAATCTTTGTAATTAAAGTCAATATTGTCTTTCCTAGTTTAGGTTTATTGTTTTTCCTAATTTAATTTAGGGTTTATTCCTATTTTAGATTCTTCCTCTATATTGAAACAATCTTGTGTATATATATAGTTGCGTGTAAAAGATTGAAAATATAACACACAATAAAAGAAAAATAAAAGAAATACGAAATATTCTTTCAACATATCCTATTTCTTCTTTTGTAAGTTATGATCATCTTTCTTCTTCATCTCGTTGTTTTGTAAGTAACTAGACTCTATCTCTACCCCTAAAATTGTTATTCAACCTTTGTCCCATCCTAGTTGGTGTGCAGCAATGAAAGAGGAAATGACTACCTTAGATACTAATGGTACTTGGGATCTTATGCCTCTCCCGGCAGATAAGAAAATTATTGGTTGTAAGTGAGTTTTCACCGTTAAAGTGAATCCTGATGGTTCTATTGCTCGTCTCAAGGCTCGATTAGTTGCTAAGGGCTATTCTGAGATTTGCGAACTTGATTATTCTAATACTTTTTCTCCTGTCGCCTAATTATCTTCTGTTCGTTTATTTATTTCTTTAGCAGCTACTTTTGACTGGCCTTTACATCAGTTAGACATTAAAAATGCCTTTCTTCATGGGGATCTTTAAGAGGAAGTTTACATGGAGCAGCCACCAAGTTTTGTTGCTCAGGGGGAGTCAGGTAAAGTAGTAAACTTCAAAAATCTCTTTATGGCCTTAAACAAAGTCTTCGAGCTTGGTTTGGTAGATTTTGCAATGTGGTACATTAATTTGACATGTAGAAGCATACTTCTGATTATTCTGTATTTTTCAGAAGTACTAAGACTCGTTTGATTCTACTTGTGGTTTATGTTGATGACATTATTATTACAGGGAGTGATTCAGTCGATATTACATCACTCAAGTCATTTCTCCAAACTCAGTTCTAGACAAAAGACTTAGGATGGTTGAAGTATTTTTTGGATATTGAAGTGTCTAGGTGTAAGAGAGGCATCTTCTTATCTCAAAGGAAGTATGTCCTTGACTTATTGAAGGAAACTGGAAAGTTCTTGACTTATTGATTAGGAAAACTTGGAAAGTTGGGTTTGCCCAAAGCCATTGCAGTGCCTCCAATGACTCTTTAATTTTGCAACTTTCAATTGGTGGTTGAGCTAGTGAGCTATTTTTGATGATCCTGAGATGTTATAGAGGTTTAGTGGGCAAACTGAATATCGAAAGGCTATGGCACAATTCTTACTTGTTGAATTAGTTTTGGATTTTCAATTGGTGGTGAGCTATTTGATGATCCTGAGATGTATAGAAGGTTAGTGGGCAAACTGAATATCGAGCTATGGCACAATCTACTTGTGAATTAGTTTGGATTCGTCAGTTATTAGAGGAAATTGGCTTGAAGTTATCCTTGCTGGCAAAGTTATGGTGTGATAATCAAGCTACTCTTCACATTGCATCAAATCCAGTATTCCATGAACGAACAAAACATATCGAGATGAATTGTCATTTCATTTGTGAAAAGATACAACGGGGTGTTATCTCTACAGGGCACATTAAAACAAGTGAACAATTAGGAGATATCTTTACAAAAACTCTAAATGGACATCGGGTTAACTATCTTAGTAACAAGTTGGGCATGATTAACATCTATTCTCCAACTTGAGGGGAGTGTTAAAGATTAGTTGTAAATAGAACTCTGTTAGGAGTTAAATTCCTAATAGGTTTATAGTATCTAGTATGTGTATATATATGTGTCCCTATTGATGAATCAAATAGAAGAAAATATTTTTCCCACATTAAATTTACACTTATAATGCCATGAACATGAAGGTTGCAGAAACAAAAACAAGTTAATCATAAATAATTCAAGCAGATGGTCATGTATCCTAAGAGGGATCCACATATTGGAATTGGCAAGAGGCAAGACAAGAATGATGATCAAGCATATTGAACAATGTATTCAATTATGCCAAGCAAAATGATATTTAACAATTGCCTAATAGTACTGCTGACAAAAGACATATGATCATGTCATAAAAAATGTCAGTCAAATAGTGTTTCTCAATGAGAGACTGTGGTCAAAGCCATTTCTTCTATTTCTTTAACTTATAAACTTCTAAACTTATAAAGAGGCCAGAAAGAGGCAGAGCAGGATAAAATAAACTTGTTCGTATGTCAGTTACAATTTGTTGCGTTCAAAGTTAATAATGTCCCTTTAAGTCATTTAATGTGCCTTTGTTTTAGTTTTGCTCCGCTCTTTTAAGTACGAGGCTGCCATAAGTTCTGTGATTTCAGTCTCTTTGACACCGATCATTTGGATTTGCTAGCTTAATTACATGTAACATTAACAAACTGTAGCAAAAACTGCAACAGTTTGTTGCTCTGGAAAACTAAATAAGACTTAACGTATCTAGCAAGATAATTCAATTTTATAATTCATTTTCCAGACGCACTAACAAGAACAAGATCGAACAACAAAAGGAACAAAAGGAAATTATTTAAAAAATAAAAAATAAAAAAAAAAAAGAAAGAAAGAAGGAAGAGATCATTTACCTGAAGTACATATCCTGAATCTTCTGAATGTTTGACGAAATCAGTTGACTAGATTTTCTAACCTCCAGGACCTACAGCATTATTCCAAAAATTTTAATAGACAAAACAAAAAGCAACAATAAAATTGTGAAAGCCACAAAAGCAAGACATTACCCCTTCAACTTTGTCAGATAATTTAGATGAAGAGGATTTTGTCTCAGAACAAATTAACGACCCTAGTGCTTTGAGATCACCCTCTTCAAAAATAAACAAATTCAACAGTATCATCATTGTAAATAAACAGTCCTTTACTAAGAAATCAATTCCACATAGAAAACTTAACGAAAGCAGTCCCAACAGATGTAAAAGCATCCACTTAGACACCTTATGCCTTTCAGGGTAAGATTGCATCGTTTCACATAAGAAGTTTTGAATCGGTAGATGGATGCTAAATTGTTGAAAACAACCAAGAATGCCCACTACATACTCATATTCCTTACTTAAGGAAACATCTCTGAGGGATTTCAAACAAACATATCTGAGATACCAAACAGCTTTCAACATTGAACTGCTCATTAACTTCAGTATAGAAGCAAAAAGATACATATCTTCATGGTTTGTTTCCCCTTTCTTGTGAAATAAAGTTTCACTCATATCATCAGATGAACATCCCAGTATTATGCAATTTGATATTGATAAAACCTCATCTCTAAAGGATTCATCAAATATGCATAGATTCTCCTTCACATATGATACAGAGGCAGCCACCAGATCAGCATTTGTTCCAAAGGACATATTGCTTAAATATGAATCCCACGAACTTTTTGACTTGGCAGTTAAAAGATAGAGTTTGTCCACTGTGACCTGCAGAAGATATGACTCAAAAGTCGTCTGACTACTCCCAAGCAAACATGAACTGACAAAAGACCCATTGCTAGTCATATTATGGCCATAGACATGCAAACTAGACATGTGGCTAGTGTACAATATGACAGACTTTTCAAATGCTTTCAAGTACCAATCCATTAATTGAACGTCCAGCATCATATTATCAGAATCTGTGCAAATACCAATAGCTTCAGAGACCACTAAAACCAAATGTGCCTGAAACATTTTTGGAGCAGAAAGCATAACAGGGCTAAAGAGCAAAGACAAGGCTGTTGACAAGCTTATTTCAGGAATTCTGACGTAATCCTTGTTGGACCAAACTAATCTTCTGATGAAATTCACAAATGCTAGCTCATCGGAAACTGATAGAAAAAGATGAGCACAAATCACCTCCAGCACACTTCCAATATTACCATGACCAAAGTGGAAATTGAATAACGTTTCACTTCTGGAGGATGCAGAATCAATCAACATAAAGTACCCTCTCAATGGTCTATGCATCAAAAGCTCATCTGCAAACACCTGAAGAGAACACTTCAACATAAAGTTGGGTTTGGCTGCAAGATAATCCTCATAATTGCACCTATCTGGCAAAAAAGGCATGAAAAGGGGAATTGAATGACATAAAAAAAAGCCTTCACAAAAATGAAGGAAACTCAAACAGGAATGATTTGCCCTTGGAACCAGCATGAAGGAAAACCTAGTATTCACAATCAGGCATAATATGAAGATGAACACCAAACTAACTGCTCCACAAAGAATGGCGGGGGTTGGGTAAGGTGTAATGCAAATCATCCAATAATTGCTGATACACCAGCTCACTATCGAAACAATATAATCCATTTCAGAGACAAAGTAAAAGAATTTAATATCTCAGCCATATTGTTAAACAATTAAGGAGTAAGTTGCATTTAAGAATATAACCTGATAAACTAAAAGAAATTCCCAAATTTAGTTTTTTTTTTTTAAAAAAAAAAAAAAAAAAAGGAGAGTAAGTTTGCATTTAAGAATATAACCTGATAAACTAAAAGAAATTCCCAAATTTAGTTTTTTTTTTAAAAAAAAATTTTTTTTTTTTAAAAAAAAAAAAAAAAACTAAATTTGGGAATTTCTTTTAGAAAATATTTGTGAAATAAATATTCGTATCTCGAGCGATAGAGATAAAATTTGTAATATTTTATGCTAAAATGATTGAATCTAGTTGTATCATGGTCCAAAAATGACTCGTGGATGTTCCTGCTATTGTATGTCATCTAAACAAGATCATAATAATTAGAAGAAATAAGAGCGCAAGCTAAGATTTCAATGAACAGAACTGTAAGTAAGAATTTGATCATATAAATTGGTCCAATGCATAAATGGTAACTGACAAAATGAACAATGAATTGGTGAACAGGAAATGTTTTAACTTAAACAAATTAACTTTATATAAGCCATAGGCACTTTTAGGAGAGTACTATGTATTTGTTATCAGAATCTCAAAGCGTTTAGTGATTCAAGTACAACGTAATATCTAACAAAAAATTTTTTGGTCAAGTAAAGATACATTTGACCAATTTCATTTACGCAGAAACTCTAGCAAATTCGAACCAAGAACAACCTACAATAGGTCGCAACCTTTTGAAATTCAAAACAGCATTTCAGGTTGATTAAAAGCAAAAGATTTTGCAGAGCTATTGGGAAGAAGATTTTCCAGTTGATGGGAAGAAGATTTTGAAGCAAAAGAAGATTTTCCATTTAGGTTAAACTCTAGCAAATTCGAACCAAGAACAACCTACAATAGGTCGCAACCTTTTGAAATTCAAAACAGCATTTCAGGTTGATTAAAAGCAAAAGATTTTGCAGAGCTATTGGGAAGAAGATTTTCCAGTTGATGGGAAGAAGATTTTGAAGCAAAAGAAGATTTTCCATTTAGGTTAAACTCTAGCAAATTCGAACCAAGAACAACCTACAATAGGTCGCAACCTTTTGAAATTCAAAACAGCATTTCAGGTTGATTAAAAGCAAAAGATTTTGCAGAGCTATTGGGAAGAAGATTTTCCAGTTGATGGGAAGAAGATTTTGAAGCAAAAGAAGATTTTCCATTTAGGTTAAACTCTAGCAAATTCGAACCAAGAACAACCTACAATAGGTCGCAACCTTTTGAAATTCAAAACAGCATTTCAGGTTGATTAAAAGCAAAAGATTTTGCAGTGCTATTGGGAAGAAGATTTTCCAGTTGGTGGGCCAAAAAAAGGACTGAAAAAGAATAATAATTTAAAACGATAGACAAAAATATCACAAGAGTCATAGCTGACGACAATAAAGTGGAGAAGAAAACTCACCTCAAGTGCTCGACATATAAGAGTATAGCACAAATAAGAAGGTTCCAACTGAGTTATTGAAGCAACAGACTCCTCAGTAACAGAGGCAGTACAATCACCGATGATATATGCACATTCAAGAGAAATTGACCTCTTAAAAATGAGAGAATTTTTGTCATTCCCACCACCACTTAACTCAGTGGACATCAATCTGCCAAGTATTGAAAGAAGAAGTCTGCCTTTTACAGTACAAAGCTCCGGGTTAAATTCCATCAAAATTAATAGTACCATACAACATCTAAGCAGCACCATTAGTCCTTCACTCTTTGCCCATATATTTTTAACCAAGACAGCCTGGTCACTATCCGTAGAAATTGGAACATCATGTAAAACAGAGAAAAAGTCCTTAAATCCCACGTCAAGTTCATTAAACAAGAAATCAGAGAGACTATGGAGGTCTTCAAATCTTAACTTATCCAACTTCATATCTATGCAACTTGAAGCAGATTTACATTTAGACCAGGTCGTGGCAGGCTTGTTCAAGGACAAATGGACCAACACACCATACAATGATTTCATGTTCCCAGGGTTTAGACCCTGAAATTTAAGACGACAAAAAAAGTGAGCAAGAAACACAAATTAATAAACCGAAGCCCAAAACTTGAAAAGGAAAGGGAAAAATCAAAATCAAAACTTACACTATAAACTCAGTATAAAATTTAACAAAAATAAAAAAATAAAACCATTCATCTCAACAAATCCAATTCTGAAACCCCCAAATAAAGATTACATAATATTTAAAATGAATATGTGCAATTATTTAGGGTAATACCTCTGGAGATTGAATTGCAGATATCAGAGTCTGAAGAGTGTGAAGAGGATGACGGATCTCTCTTCTAAGGTTACGTTTCTTCTTGAGATTTCTGTGCTCCATTACTACAATAGAGTACAGATAGAAAATCTTAAAAAACTTCAGAGTAGCCCTCGTTCTTGATTCGTGGGTTTAACTTTTTGGCGGGGAGGCAAGAGATTTTCAAATTCAGTACATGTCAAATTCTGAAAAAGGAGCCGATTTTTGAAATTTTGGAAGGAAAGTCGCAGATTTTGTTTCAGGGACAAGAGACTGAATTTCCTTCTTGTCACGACTACATTTTTTGAATTTCTCAATTTCCTTTTTTTTTTTTCTGATTATGGAATTCAAGGTTTTTTTTTCTGATTATGAAATTCAAGGGGGAAAAAAAAAGGATAACGTGTAAATCGGTACCTAAATTATATTCAAATTGATATTTAAATTTTTTTATATTTGAAAAATAATTATAATATCTCTAATTTATATTTTATTTTATTATCTTACCCTTTCATCAAACAGTGAACTCTTTTTGTCCAAAAAATTAGTATAATTTTATTCAAGAGTTTGTCTAATTAATGATAAATTTTTTTTTTTTTTGAATGAAAAGATCCTAATAATGAGTCGGAAGGTAATAAAGGTGATGATGCCTCTATAATTAAAAAATGAACCAAAATAATTAAAATGTATATGATGTAATCAATAGATTTACTCGTTTCTACTTTTTCATTAAATGCCTCAGGAAAATTATTATTTTATTTTTTTATATTGTATTGAAATTAATTATTTCTGCATCGAACTTTTTCATCAAATTATATTGCAATATACTGATTTTGATATCATTCACTTTGGAGTTAAGCTCGCACGGTTTTATTTCTGAGCTAAAGTCTCACGTCTACGCCTAAAATGCATTTTGTAAATTTAAGACATGTCCATCTTTATGTACATTTTTTCATATTGTGTTTAGCTGATGTAGAATTTGATTAAGGTATCAAATATTTTATCTTTCTATTAAAATCTAGAGAATTTATTTTTTATATTAAAGAAAAGCCCTAGGGTAAGAGGAGAGAAAATAAAATAGATTACTAATAATACCACTTTAGTTAAACAAATACACGTTAAATAATTGATTGAATAAAAAAAAGTAAGATAGTCTATTTTTAAAAAGATAAAAGTAGTTAATTTCAACAAAATACGGGGCAAAATGGTAATTATTTCCAAAGAAGTCAACGAAATATTTTAAAAAAGTACACAGAAGAATATTATAGTTGGATGAAATAAAATATTAGGGATAAAATAATTTATTTTAAAACGAAGGCCAAAATAATTAATTTTAACAAAATATAAAAATAAAATAATAATTATTCATTATTTTTATTATTACTGTTCTCCATTGAAAATAAGCTTCCTAAATTGTTGCTATTGTTTTAAAAGCTATCCTTTGAACATATCGAATATATATATATATATATATATATTGTGTTTTAAAAAAGCATATCCTTTGAAACATATCGAATATATAATAATAATAATTATATATATATATAATATAAAGGATTATGTTTTGAAAATCAATTATAATATATAAAGGATTATGTTTTGAAATCATTATAGCAACGATTATGTTTATGTTGTAAAGAAACACTCAAGGTTTATTGAGTAAAATTAATTATTTTAATAGTCGTTAATTATTTTAATAATTGTGTTTTAGTAACTGTGGGCTATTTAATTAGGGTTTCATTAAACTTTAAAGGAAGTAGTGTTTCATAATCCGTTCTCTTAAATTGTAAACAATAATATAAATGTTACCATGTCAAACAATGTAAATAACAAAAATAGTATTTTGATTTAGTCAAAATACTAAACGCTATTTGGAATTCTTAGTGTAAGCATGGCCACTAGTTTGGTTCAAACTGGAACCGTACTGTACTGTAGATGAACTGAAATCAGACTAAAACCGTCGGTTCAAAATTTTGAACCAGAATCGACAGTTCAAGGGCCGATTAATGTTCATGTGAATGTTAAAATTTGAACTTAAACTGGCTCGGAACGGTGGTTAATCGACGGTTATGGTCCGGTTCAAAGTGGAAGTTTCTATTTTTATTTCCAAAATTATAATCAGTTAACCTATTCTATACACCTCTAAAATCTAAATAATATTTTTTTTCTGCATTATTTATTTAACTAATAATATTTAGACAATATAAAATGATAATTTATATGATTGTTTTGTAAAATTTTATTTTTGATATGAGTATTGAGTATTCTAAAAGTTATTTAAAATAAATTTCATCAATATTTTTTTACATTCACTTTTTTTTTTTTTTTTAAAGAAAGACATAACCCTAGAGTTCAATTTTTTGTTTTTGAAAAAATAGTACACATATCGGCAAAAAACTATGATTAGAACTGTCTGGAGCTGAAACCACCAGTTCAAAGGCCGATTCAGATTCAACATATATTTTTCTCTTTTGTTTTTATCATATTTTTGTGACTGTTTGATGTTTTAATGGGTAACGAATATATATATATATATAGTGTTGTTTTTGGATTTTGTTTCTTAAGAGAAAACTGTATGCAGATATGATATACAGATCAATATATTTCTACATTTTTGTATAGGAAGTCAAATAATAAACCACTTATACAAAGAATAAAAAAAACATAATCTTGATTTAAAATGTCTGATCGAGTTGACAGAGCATAATATTTGTATCATCTGCGATCGCTTGCTCCACTTGGTGGCTATTCATGGCCACTGTTTGACTCCATTGCCTTTCTACAAGTCTGATCTGATTACTTTTAAATTTTTTCTAGAGATATGTACTTATTTCTGCATAACTATCTAAATAACAAAAGATACTAGATAAAATTACTATAATAGTGACAATAATAACCTATAATTAGATATGACAACAAAGTCCAATAATTGGATGACAATAACTCATGAGAATTATTTGCAAAAAAAAAAAAAAAATTGGATGACATACCTCATGAGAATTATTTGCAAAAAAAAAAAAAAAAAACAAAAAAGAAAAGTTAAAAGGGAAAAAAAAAAAAAAAAAAACAAAAAAGAAAAGTAAAAGGGGTGACCACCAGTGAGAGCTCGTTGGTGACCACAGTGGTAGAAGAAAAAATAATTTTTAGATTTTAAGTTTGGGAGAGAAAGAGAGAGCGGCTAGAGGGGAATTCAGTTAACTCTATGTTTTAAATTTGAGTAGACCTATTTGGCTCAATATGATCCATTTCTTTCTAGTCAAAAATTAATATATCATTCTACTATCTAATTTACAGCTTTGAAGCCATACAAGATAATGCTCACTGTCAATATTGGAAATCCTGCAAATCGAAAAAATATCAATCTAATTTTTGAGAATGATTACAGGATTGAGGTCCTCAATTACTATACATATATGTATAATCTGTCAAATATTAAAAATTGAGCCAATGTATGTGGCTTCCATAATCGAGAAGAAGATTGACAAAAAAAGACTTCTCACTTCTCATTAATATTTTTTTTTATCTGTTACTAATCGTATATGTGTAAGTATAAATATGAGAAATTTTATGGAATAAAAGCTAACTATAAATCCATTTATATATTTTTTAAAATTTATTATATTTTTAAGTTGTTTACTACAAATCTACAATCTCTGCCTTAATTTATTCTCTTAATACAGTAGTGGAGTTAGGAAATGTATATGCTGGATGAATAAAAAAATTTACGAATAAAATTTATTCGTTCTTATATATATTTATTTATATTTCAATTCATGCAGTTATCACTATTCTAAGTTAAAAATTTTAGCCTTCTCACTAAACACAATGATTTCCAAATTTACACTGAAAAAAATAATTTAATAATTTTAAATCTTCGTCAAATCTTCTAGAATCATTAGGATTTCAATTTAAAATCAAATACATATCTTTATAAAATCTATCCTTTATGAGTTTAACTTATATTTATATTTAAAAATTTTATTTAATTGGTTAAAATTAAATGTCTAATAATTTAAATTTTTAATTTTATTATCTAAATTATTAGAAATCAATCACAAGCCATCAATAATTTTATTTTAAAATGACTATTTACTCAAAATAATTATTTATCTACTTAATTTTTGTACTTAATTTTTGAATTTTTTTACTTTATCCTTTATATTTTTTATGATTAGTTAATTTAAGACAGGCGAAAAGTGAAATTCAATATCTATATCAATTATTAAATTTATAATGATTATTAATTATAATATCTATTATATTATATAATATATACTATATCAATTTTTTTTTTAATGTCAAATTTTTTATTTTTCTAAATTTGAAAATATCATATGTAGACTATGAAACCATATTTAACACAAAAAAACTTAAAATTATAAAATAATTAATTAATTAAAAAACTAAACAGGTATAATCTAAGTATAAAAAAAACCCCGTAATGCTACGAGCCTTAACCTAATTGGAAAGTATTTGCAACTCGTAAATTTTAGTATGTTAAATTTGCCAAAATTCTTTTTGCTTAAAACATTAAAGAACTCACTCAAATTTAAACAAGTCTAGTCTGGTAATTTATATTCCAATTTTGACCTTATAATAGACTATGGTATCATAATCTTTCAACGTTTTAGTGCAATTTTACCCAATTGTAACAACTAGGTATTGGAATTAGCTATAAGAAAATATTATTAAAAGAAAAAAAAAACCAAAAGGTTTTTGGGGGGGGCCTATTGACAACATCATAATTTCCCTCTGCTCTCTCTTTCTCCTCATTACCGTATCAAATCCCAAATTCTCAACAATCAAATAGAAAATCTTTACTTGTGCTCTTTTTTTTTCAATTGGGAAATGTATTGCTTCCTTCCTCTGCATATATATACATACTCTAAATAATTACTCTTCTTTCAGCAAAAAAATCATTGTGAAAAAAGGATTGAAGGTGGATGTGTGATTGGAAATTTTAACTTAATAAGTTGAAGAATTATTTTTTAATGCCAATTACATAGATTTTCCCCTGAATTTTGACAATTAATCCTACACACTTCCAACTTTGCGCGAATTAGACCAACTCTCACTTAAAAAATTTTGCATACCGAATTTAAAATATATCAATTTATTTTTTTAAGTCAAATTTTTTAATTTTCTAAAATTTGAAAAATCTATGTAGACTATGAAACCATATACACAAAAAAACTTAAAAATTATAAATAAATTAATTAATTAAAAACTAAAAGTATAATCTAAAGTATAAAAAAAACCCCGTAATGCACGAGCCTTTACCTAATTGAAAGTAATTTGCAACTCGTAAATTTAGATTTAATATTGCAAAAAATTCTTTTGGCTTAAACATTAAAGAACTCCTCAAATTTAACAAGTTGTGGTAATTATATTCCAATTTGACCTTTATGACATGGGTATCATAACTTCAACTTTTAAGTGCAATTTTACCCAATTTGAAACTAGTATTGGAATTAGCTATAGAAAATATTAACAGTGGGCCTATGACAACCTCATATTTCCCTCTCTCTCTCTCTCTCCTCATACCGTAATCAAATCCCAAATTCTCAACAATCAAATAGAATCTTTACTTGGTTTTTTTTTTTCAAGGGAAATGTAATTGCTTCCTTCTCTGCATATATATACATACTCTAATATTACTCTTCGTTTCAGAAAAACTCATGTGAAAAAGGTGAAGGTGGGGTGTGATTGGAACTAACTTAATAAGTTGAGAATATTTTTAATGGCCAAATACATAGATTTTCCCCTGAATTTTGACAAATTAATCCTACACACTTCCAACTTTGCGAAGACCAACACTTAAAAAATTTTGCACCGATTAAACACCTTCCCACGATGACAACTGCTCGTGTATTACAAAGAAGGCTGAGTAGGATAAGTAAAAAAACATAAAACCTAATTTCTTTTACACATTAGCAATTTTAAAAATAAAAAGTAACATCATTTACAAAGCTTCGTCTCTCTAACTCAAAACCCTTTCGTGGGTCCGCATTATCTCCTCATACCCACCAAAGCCCTCCTCTCTCTCTCTCTTTTCCTCTGTGTCGAAAAACAACAATCTCATAAAGCAAAAATAGAGCATTTTCTCTCTCTCTCTCTCTCTCTCTCTCCGATCAACTCTAGCTTACCTTGACCCGAAATTCGATCCTCGAAGAGAAGCCATCTCTCAATCCTTTACTCCTCATCTCCTGTCTTCATCGACCAAATGGTGCATGAGCTTTGTCGCCTTGTCTCGGATTCTAAAGTGGATCTCTCTCGGGTTTTTAGAGCTTCAATCTACACTCGAAGGTGCATGCTTGAAATTCATTGGTTTATTTATTAAAGGACTCACTTGGATTGGGTCAGAAAGGAATCGTGGGTCATGGCAATTTGATTCCCACGATAATCACCCTTTTGTTAAGGTCAGTGAACTACTATGGACTTCAGTTATGAATAGCATGACCTTGTCTTGAAGTTATTTTGGAATTTTTATGTGCTAATATGTTGTTTGTTGGATGAAATATAGACTATAAAAATGGAAATCAAAATTTAATTTCGATGCAGAAGTGTGTTAGTTGAATTATTAAAGAATTTGAATGCTGATGCTATGAAGGGTTTAAAATGCAGATTTTATCCTTCAAAACTGAGGTTCAGCCTGAATTGCTACAACAAGTTTTACTGTTTATGATAAAGAGTAGGCGGTTGGGAACGATGGAAGTTTGTGAATTCTTAAGAGCTTTTGTGAATTTTTCCATTCTGTAGATGCCCTTTTCGGATTCATCATCATCTTTGTTTGCAAGGCAATTAATATCATGTTTGGTATCATTTTTTTGTTCCTTTCCTAATGAAGCAATTCCAGTTTTTCAGCTTCTCATGGGCTGCCTCAAATGTTTACCACAAAAGAATTCGGATGTTAGTATACTTGTCTAAAAATTGTACTTTTGTTAGTTCCTCTGTAATCTTGTAGTTATTAGATTGTCATTTATTCATAAAATGCAAAAACTTAGGGACTCTTATTATTTTTTGGAATTATACAATGGTTTTGAGACACTTGGTTAGAATTGAATTAGTATGTTTTAATAACTCTGGCTTAGGCAACCTTTAATACAATCACTTGTTCCTTCGTTATTTCCTTTTTACTAATGATAGTTTAATTGGATCATCATCATTAGTTTAAATTGTCTCAACTAATGATAGTTTAATTGAGCATTTCCTAGAAACTGAGTATGTGAGTTGGTTTTGCGGAAAATAACAAAAACAACGTTACTTTTTTATTTTTAAAATTATTAATGTGTCCATTTACTTATCCTATCCATCTTCTTTGTAATACACGTGCGGTTGCCAGCATGGAAAGGTATTCATCTGATGCAAAATTTTTTATTCCATGTGCATAATTGGTCCCCCACAAAGTTGAGGGTGTCGTAGGGTTGATTTGTCAAAGTTCAAGGGGCAATCTATGTATTTGGCCTTATTTTAATGTTTAAACGATTTCTGATTAGTTTTGAAAGTTAATATGTATGTTGGTTTTTTTTTTTTTAATTAACCTCATAGATAATAGAGCATTTTTTATAGGATAAAGTACTATTTAGTCCCTCAGCTTTAGGTGTTATCAAATTCATTCCCTCAGCTTTAGGTATTGTCAAATTCATTCCCTCATCTCTCTTTTTATGAAAACCAATTAACCAATTATACGAGAAATTTTTAGGTAAACTCAATTTACTATGTCAGGTGTAAACCCACTTAATAAAATAAAGTCACGTCATCAGCAACTTGTTTTAACTCGTTCCACATCAATGACTCCTAAATCAAGGCAGCTAGGTTTCCTATTTCTAGCAAAATAGCGTGAAAGAATTAATAGGGAATAAACTAGAAAAAACAAACTGATGATGTGGCTTTATTTCATTGAATACGTAATAATTTCTCCAATTATATAGTTCATGAATTTAATGTTTGTCAAACTAAAAGGTCCTTTTAACAGCTTTTAATCGTTAAAAAATGCCCTTATCCTCAGCTCCTCTAACCTCTTACTCTCTCTCTCTCTCTCTCTTTCTCTTTGTCTCTTTCTCTCTCTCTCTCTCTCTCTCTCTCCGACTCCATCCCTATCTCCATATAAATTTTGTGTTAGCGTAGATAAAAAATTCAAAACAATAACCCAAATGTATCAAAGATCAGAAATTTAGAGAAAGAACAGTGGACAAGAGTTAATTGATGGTGGTAAAGCCTTGGTAACATCTCTTGTTGACATGCAAGAAAGGCTTAGTAAAATGGTTGTTGGAAATGGCAAGGCTGGTGACCCTATTATAGCTGATGATCTTGGTGTTGGATGTGCTTTGGTTGTACTGATTAAAGATGTCGTCAATCCTACTCTAATACAAACCCTTGAAGGAACTCATGTTCTTGTTCATGTTGGTCCTTTTATAAACATTACTCATGGATATTCTTCAATTGTAGCTGATAAAATTGCATTGAAGATGGTAGGGCCATACCGGGTGGGTTTATGGTCATAAAAGCTGGCTTTGATATTGATATTGATATTGGAACTGAGAAGTTCATGAATATAAAGTGCCGATGATACGTGTAAATCATGTAAATCATTCTTGTATTCTTATTTGTAAAATAGTGTCGTGCATTTTATCAAAGTGGTATCATGTTCATAAGTGACCAAATGTGTCTATTGGAAGAAACAATGTCGCATAATGTTGTTAAGTCAACTAGGGAATTAGTGGCGAAATAGTTAGCTGTAAATTGAGTAGTAGAGTCAATATAACAACTCTAGCTCTTGTAACCGTCTATTGTTGAGCATATTATGAGAATCATCTCTGTGTTTCTCTCTCCCTCTCTCCTCTCTATCTTCTTCTCTGAATTCTTATTCTGAGTTTCCATATCAGTGGTATCAGAGCAACATCTTGGCCGTGGGGGAAGTGCCTACCACTAGATCTCAAGAAGCCTTAAGGAAGGAATTTGCAGCAATGCTCCTGGAATCAGAGCAGAGAGATAGAAACGAGTTTCTTGGCGCCATTGCTGAACTCAAGATGCTCATGGTTGCGAATAACCAGAATTTGCAGAGTGAAGAACCACATCACTTAGGCAATAACTCTGAAACTCACCATCAATTTTTCAATTCAAACACTCCAGCAGTTAATAATTGGGGACATGGGCCAAAGGAAGATCTTCCTCGCTTCAATGGTGAAGGGTTGGATGGGTGGTTACTCAGATGTGAGTACTACTTTGAAGTAACTCGAGTTAATCCAGTTAATAGGGTTAAAATTGTTGCCTTATACTTAGAAGGCAAAGCAATTCAGTGGCACCAAGGGTATGTCAAACTTAAAGGGAATAAAGCTTATATGGATTGGGGAAATTATGTGGAGGGGATAATAGATAGATTTGGAACCCAAGCTTTTGATGACCTAATTGCAGACTTGAGGGACTTGAAGCAAGAAGATTCTCTATAAGGGTACATGGATATCTTTGATGAACTGTATCCTAAAGCGAGAATTACTGATGTGTAGGCCCTTAGTTTCTTTCTTTCTGGTCTCAAAGATGAACTACATATGCCAATCCGAATGTTTAACCCCAAAACCCTATCTGAACCATATTCCTTAGCACGCATACAAGAATTATCTGTAGCTGCTATTCAGCAAAAACCAGGAACTGCCAGACCTGCAACCTTTTCTTCATACTCAGCCATGAATCCATACATCAAATAACCAAGTTTCCACAATTCTCAACCAAATACACTAACACTAAGACCCACAACCACTTAAAATCAGAAACCACTACCTGCCTTGCTCCCTACCCCCGACATTCCAACATTACCTTCTAATAACAGACCCCCTTAACCTTAACAAGTAAAGAAATAGATGAAAAAAGGGCCAAGAACTTGTGCTTTTAGTGTGATGAGAAGTTCTCTCCAAGCCATAAATGTTGCAAGAAGCATGTGTATGTATTACAACTCAAGGAAGTAATCCCTAATGACCAAGAATCTTAGAATGGGGAAATAGACGCTGAGTTAGAAAGCCTTGATAGCATAGCTGAAGGCCAATGGTCTCTACATGCTTTATGGGGTACTGGTAACAATCAAACTATGATGGTGAGAGGATTGAGTGGAAAAAGGAGGTTACATTGACTCATTGACACTGGCAGTACTCACAACTTCCTTAACGAAAGAATAGTATAGTAGCTGCAATGTCAACTGAGAAAAGTCACAAGTATATGGGTTGAAATTGCTAATGGCACTAAGATTAAATGTGACAGTCTATGTGAAGGCTTTGAATGGTTTATACAAGAATAAGTTTTTAAAATTAATGTATATGTCTTACCCTTAGAGATTCATGACCTCATATTGGGTGTCCAATGGCTTAAAACCTTAGGAGATACTAATTGGAATTTTGTTGATCTCACAATGAAGTTTCAACTAGAGGGACAACAATACTTATTGAAGGGGGAAGAATTTCAGACTACTGCTAATATACTTAATGCCTTATCCTTAAAAGAAAGGATACATATTGGGCGGGATAGTCTTAGCTATGAACTAAAATCAAGCAAACTTTTCAATCTACAGTTACAAACACAGTCGGTATGGAAAGACTTAGAACTATTACTGGATACCTTTCAAGACTTGTTTCAAGAACTTAAAACTCTGCCTCCTAAAAAGAACCCATGATCATAGAATCTATCTCAAACCTGGATCCCAACCTATCAACATCAAACCATATAGATACGCAACAAAGCAAAAAGGTGCAATTGAAGACATGATTTGGGAGATGTTATAAAATGGAGTTATTAGACATAGCCACAGCCCCCTATGCAAGTCCTATTGTATTGGTTAAGAAAAAGGATGGCACATGGAGAATGTGCATTGATTATAGAGCACTGAATGCCATTACCATCAAGGGTAAATTCCCTATTCCATTAATTGAAGAGTTATTAAAAGAATTGGGTGGAGTTGTAACGTCCCATTTTCTATTGAATTGAGTTGATGCTTAGAGTCGAGTCGGGCTGATCTAAAACCCGGTTCGAGCCATTAGAGTCTGAGTCCCTAGAGGTGGCCTAGATGAAATAAGGAAGAAGAACTGGACTTTACTTGAAGAAACAAAAGATCAAAAGTATAAAGGATTCAGGACTTACTTGCCAAAAAGATAAAAGTTGAGGTAATTGAGTTGTACCATTTTGACAACTTGAGGTACCAATTTGGTAATTTTCACATAAAAAATCAATGTAATTCTAAGAGACTACCCTGAGTTTCCATTCATTTCATTTCTTCATCCTATCTTTCAACATCTTCTTCCTCTACTTTCCTCTTCCATCTGTTCCTTTCTCCATCACTTTTTAATGGTAGTGAAGATTTTAAATGGATTCAAGGCATTTAATTCAAGCTTCTAATTATATCCAAGTAAGTAAACCTTCTTGAATTTCATACTTGAATCATTGGTGATATTTTTAAAGAATTGATGCATAAGAATTCTTATGTGTAAGGAGAAGGTGATCTCAAAGGTAGAAGAAGTAAGAAGAAGATTCCACTTGTTGAAGTGGAAGGTGTGCTAATCTCCTTTAGTTTTTTAAATTCATTTCCTTGCATGATAATTTGTGTGATGTTGTTGAAATGAGGAGATATGTTGCTTAAATTGAGTTAAAGAAGAACTGAAAATGGTGAACAAGCATGAGAATGAAATGAATAAATGAAAGTAGATATTAGTTCATGCTGAAAACAAGGTTTTGCTGGAAAGTTACCAAGTAACTTTTCACCTTGATTTTTACCTATTGTAACTATGGAATTAAGAAGTGTCATAGAATTTATTTGGTTCTCCTATGTGTTTAAGCTTTACATGGGTTTTTTTGAAAATCAACCCAAATCGGAGTTGTATATTGAGAGATTTTATGACGCAAAAAAGAGTACAGACTGGCGCAGGCTGGAAAACACGTCGTGCGCTCGCGAATTTCATTTGCGCCTCGCGAATTGTGTCTGGAAACTCCTCTGACTCTCATTTGCACTTCTCGCGCTCGCGACTTTGCATGACGCGCTCGCGAATTGTGTTCTGATGCTCCTTTTGGACTTCATTTCATGCAATTGTATTCCTTTGCTCAACTTGTATGCCCTCCAATCAATTTTTAAAACAAAAAAGACAACA